GTGAACGCCTTGACAGATCATGCTTCTACCTTTAAACATATACCATTCACCCAGCCTATTGTTGAGATGCGACCATGTGGGATCTGCTCAGATTTATGGGGCATCTTATAAATTAACTTGCTGTCTATCGTCAGATCTTTTCATACCACTCCACAATGTCTTATCTCATTTATTTTCTGACAACGTCTTTACTTGATCCTCATTTTACTCCATTAAACTTAACATCTTATAGCTCTTCATTACTTATTATACTCCTACTCTCTGAAGGGTACGGTTGTGCACTAAATGCACAAAAAGGTATAAAATAAAAACAATTGGCATGAGGATAATTGTATTAAAACCAAAAGTGGATATCATGATAGTTTGTGATACATCTGTAGCATTATACATTGCAAATGAGTGTTGTTACCCTAGGGTGTTTCCTTTATTAATGCATTTATTAATGATACTTGCACTTACCTATTTCATTACAATTTAATGATTCACCTCAGCACTTTAATTTTTCTAAAACAGATTCCAATCCCTTGTAAAAGGTGTACTTACCTCAATAATGGTTGGTTATCGTATGCCTACAACCACGGGATGAAAACGGAACGAAGTCGATTTTCCCGCTCAACCTGGAGGACAACTGTACAATTCAATAACTATACGGCCTAATTCAGAAAATGAGTGTATTATATGTATCGAATATTTAACAGTTGAAATACGATTAACTTGTAGACAATCTACGATTTGATATTATATCATACTTGATCGTGCCTGTAAAAATGGCATGCATTTTCATGTAAATTTGTAAATTTATATGAAATACATTGTTACTATTATAAGATTAGCTAGCAAAGTATGTAAGAACTGCGGTTTGACCAGTTATATGACATTTAATACGTTTAGACATAATCAACGTAAGCTGCTTACTTCTGTGACACATTATCCAAAGCTAGGTAGCCATCTTAAATAGTTTGCGCTAAAGGTAATTTCCTGTAGCTGCTACCTTACTAGGTAATTTAACGTTATCTTTGAATTACTAAGTAAAACTGGGCATCTAGCGAATATTCCTAGTAAAAAGATTGCCTTCTAGTCAAAGAAAGTAAATATATCCACATCCCCACGAAAATGTCTAGAGGTGTATACCCTATCACCATGACACTTTAACAGATTCGCTATTCGTAATCACTTACAAGGCAAAACAGACCTACCGAAGGCAGCATGCTTATGATTTCTAGATGTCTTAATGCAACATGAGGAAAACGCTATGTCCATGACGTTATAACTGTTAGACACATGATATCAGCGACAGAATATACTACTTAGCTATCTATTCATCCAATCTTCTTAACAAATGTTGCGCCAATTAAAATAAGGAAAGGAGTACCACTGCTTTGAGGAAAATATACCTAAGATTTTCTTAAAAGTCGTGTACATCCCGTAATCATGGGCATCCAGAAATTGCCAATCCGGGAAAAGGATGATTTTTTTAAATTTGAACTGAAACCAGAGTCTTACGCCCCCTTCTATTCACTCTATATGTCAACGACATATGCAGCTGTTTCTCACTTGGTAAACCATTCATCTTTGCAGATGATCTTAAAATAGCTTACACATTCCACTGTGATGACTTAGGATACTTTCAGAAAGCTGTTCAGGAAGAACTAGATCGAGTAACTGCATGGTCCTCCACATGGAACCTAAAATTCAACCTTAAAAATGTGGTTGGATCTGTTTCGGTGCACCCTCAATAAATATTAAACTGGTACTTGAATCTCTTGACTTGCCTAAACTCCAAAGTGTTGCTGACCTAGGACTCAGGTACTCTAGTGACTTGACATTTTCTGAGCAAGTGGCGACACAGGCGCGTAAATCGAGGATGCTCTTAGGATGCATACTCAGGAATTTCCACAACCACGAAGCGAAACTATTATTAAATAAAACTTGTGTCAGACCACTACTTGAATATTGTCCATTTATTCTCAGCAGCACTCGCGTAAGTGACAAACTTAAAATAGAAAGTGTCCAACCATACTTCACGTCTAAACTACTAGGATTTGACTGCGAAAAGGACTACACATCAAGGCGTATAACTCTAGGTATCGACCCACTCTGGATGAGAAGACTCAGCATTAACGTAACATTCTTCTTTAAAATCTTGCATAAAATATCATTCCCAGACAGTAAGGAGATACAGTTCTCACCGGAAGGCTCTTACAACCTTCGTAACCAAACGTGCACATTATCTAGGAAAAGCTGTAAAACAGTACTCCGTGCAAACTTCTTCATAGTCATGCACTCTAAGATCTGGAACAGTTTACCCCTAGAAATAAGGACCTGTCACTCTATTATAACCTTCAAACGCTTGCTATATAAACTGTTTCATCCCAATGACTATGCCAATCACACCGCACCGCTTGTTTCTAAAACGCATCAGTTATTAGAACACTGCAACGCCTAGACTCATTACTAAATATTATGACACTAAATAAACTCTAAGACTCCGCAAAAATACATGAAGAAACAACTAGATTATAGGTAGTGTTTACTATACAATGATATACATTTATAAACATTTATATATACATAAAATATTAATGTTCTCTTCACTTTTACATACGTTATCTTTCTGGGATATATTCCTGAGCGTACTCTTCTATATACCTCCTGGTCGAGGTCGAACAAACCAACATTTTAACTGAAATGACCATTTAAGTAAATTGAAACTCAAATTCCATGGACGATCCGATGCTACCATTTGAAAACGCTGGCCAACATTCTGTACAAGGAGTATTCTTGATGTGAAATAAAGAAGCTACTGGTTTTCAAACAGTTTTCAATGTATTACTCAACTTACGTGTACAGTCTCTCATGCTGACACAAATGGCGCCAATGTATATTTCCAGAATCAACCTCGGCCCCATTAGATGCAGTAAAACAATCCAACATGACCTAATTTAGTTTTCGTTTCCACAATCAAATTTCTTTCCTATTATAAAATTATGATTAGACTGCTGAAAAAATTGGAATAAATATATCAATGATCTCAACATTATACATCAACGAACATTAACTCAAGGATGCTGTTCACAACAAAGTTACATAGGAGAATTGACTTCAAGCTTTATTTTTCCCAGATATTTGTATTACATTAATCTGATGTCTGGGTTTTTTGTTAATGTGAAGACAATATTTCTATATCTCTTTATGTGTTACACAGACAGACTATTTTGCAGACTGTTCCGACTGACTGCAATGTCAGAAAGAACAAACAGACTGTAAATTCAACATACATCGAAATATGTGTAATTTATATAAAAACTTATCCATGCCTGTACAATTGGTATGTTCCTGCATAAACAGGAATAAATAAATATTATTATTATTATAGTTCTGGGTATCTGCGAGAGCAGACAGCATTGATATGGATTATCAAAATTGCCAACTGGAGAGTCAGTAATCTACTCCAGCCACCCAGATGACGACCAGGAGCACACTGAGGGTGTGAGTGGCTATCATGGTGCCACCAATGGCAGCCAAAATCCTAATGAATTGGGAACCAGTTTCATCCGGAATCATGACTGCGAGATTCAACTTCAAAGGAAGGTTGCAATTATCCAATGAAACTCACCTACAAACAACGCGGAACAAGAAAAGAAGGAGGATTTTCACAGACAACTACAAACAGTAACGGGCAACATCCCAAATAGCGACATCAAAATCCTTATGGGCGATATGAATGCCAGCTGCACTGCTAGTGGAAAATACAGGAAGGGAACTCATAATAGGTCGAGAGGCTCTCACTCGAAAGAATGAATGAGAACGGAGAATTACTCACAAACTTCTGCACCTTCAGTGACTAGGTAATCGGAGACAGCGTGTACAAGCACAGGGATATGCACAAAGCAACATGGATTTCGCCTGACGGACACACTACAAACCAGGTAGACGTCATCTCAGTGCTGCTCAAGGAACTGGAGATGCAGTCAGTCTTCTGGACACAAAGTCGAGAAGCGGAGCAGATGTAGACTCAGACCATCATCTAGTTCAAGGAACCTTCAAGGCGAACCTGAAATCCCAAAAAAGCAACCAGAGATAGGCCTCTGTAATTAAAGTTCAGCATTCAGAAACTGAAGGACAAAACTCCAAGGGATATCTCCACTGCAGATCACTGTGAGCGAAGTTAGACACTACGCAGCATCACTTAAGAAACCTGCGTGAAAGAACATTGGAACTCTCTGAAGGTGATGTTCATGGAAGCGTGTACAACTGTTCTGGGAAGAAGGAAGAGACAAGACAAGGAATGGCTCTCAAAGAATGCCTGGAATCTAATCTAGGAGAGGAGGATGATGAAATAGAAGATGACTCAATGCGAAGATCGGCAACAGAAGCAGAAGCTATGTTCAGTGTAAATTGCACTAAAGAAGTGAAGAAGAGTGCCAGGAAAGACAAAAGACAATTCTACGACGCGCTAGCTGGCAACTGAGTCAGAAGAGGCAGGTCGCAAGTTAAAGCGATCTCAGGAGATTAACTATATGAGATAACCAGAAGTCTATCCCGAAATAGATCAACTCAGATAATGAAACCAATAAAAAATGCTCAAGGAAACGAGATTGTCGAGGAGGAGAAACAAATAAAACAACTGGCTGGTCACTTTAATGGACTCTTGAATCGACCATCAGCTGCAACTTGGTCAGAAATACCACCATCGCCAACGGTCTGAGAATAGACACTAATTCTCCAACGAGAGCCGAAATCCTGAATGCAATTAAGCTCCTGAGGGCTGGCAGAGAAGACAGTATGGCGAGATTGAATTCCCTTCAAAGCACTGAAAACGGACCCAGAAAGTGCTGCAGATGTGCTTATGCCATTATTGCAAAGGGTTTGGAAAGAAGGAAAGGTACCTACCAGATGTAAGAAAGGCTGGCAACCTCTTCAAACTGCCAAGAAAGGGCGACTAATGTCTCTTCAAGAACTTGTGTGGAATAAGGCCGCTGTCTACGCCAAGTAAAACATTTAGTCTCATCATCCTGGAGAGAATAAAGGATGTAATGGATACAGAACTCCACCCCACCGGAACAAGCTGCATGCACTAAAGGCAAATCATGTGCTCACTAAATCGTGACTCTACACACATACTTGGTTGTTTTTTGTTAATGAGGAGTCAATATGTCTATATCTCTCCATGTGGTCCATTGAATCACTAGTTATCGGATTTTCTCCACAAACTAAAGAAGAAAAGGCAGCAACCATGTAATTTGACCATTGTTCAAATTTATGTAATTTATATAATACTTATCCATGCCTGTACAACTGGTGTGTCCTATATAGGTAGGAATAAACATGTACCTTATTATATTTTCATTACTGAATATGCTTCCTGATCGTATGTGTAATTTATCATATTGATGATGCCTGTAAACTGGCGTCCCTCATGTGCAAAAAAGAGAATATATTATTATTGTCATCGAACAAAGCAAAGAATGGAAGTCAAAACTCAACCTCAACATCACTGACTTAGAAATGGCCTTCGACAGTGTATTGACCGAGAAGTAATATGGAAAATAATTCGACACTACGGCGTGCAGTGCCTAGGTCCTTATCAGCCTCATTCAACAGCTGGCTATATGACCATGCCGCTTGTCAGCTGATCCACAAGTGGAAACTTAGTAAGGCGTTCGAAGTGAATACAGGAGTAATAAAAAGGCTGCCCACTATCACTTATGACATTCCTAGATGTGGTGGACTGGATTATGCGTCAGACTGTGCAAAGGCATCGAGAAGACAGGAATACATTGAACCAATAAGAAGACTCTAGAAGACATGGACTCCGTGGACGATTTATGTCTCATTTAGAAAAAACTCGAAGATCTGCGAGCGAAACCAATGAGTTGGCAGGAGAGGCAGTGAAGGAAGGAGGTCAGGTAAACATGAAGAAGATGGACGTGATGAAGACGTCAAACCAACCAACAACAACGACAACAAGTGATATCAACGGAATAGATTTGAAGGTGGTTACTTCCTTCACTTATCTAGGAAGCATCTTTTAACTACAGGCCGTCAGAGCGGATGGGGATGTCAAAGCCAGTCAGAATCGGAAAGGCGAGATATGTCTTCGTCAACCTTAAACCACCTTCGAAATCTTCTGAACTCAGCGCTAGGAACAAGATTTCCATTTGCAACACGAAAATCATATCGGTCCTTCTATACGGGTCAGAAAATCAGCCAGCGTGCACGAAAAGGATTTCCAACAGCCTGTTGCAGACTTTTATCGATAGATGCCCACTGCTCTGGCTCCATACTGAAGGTCAAATGGCCGGCTAGCCAGAAAGAATTAGGAACAACAAACTCTGGCAATGAACAAACCAACCAAGGGCCTATCGTTCAACAAACATGTAGGAGAAAATGGAGATGGATCGAACTTACGCCACTGAGGAGGCTGACGAATGACATTGCGCACTAGGCTCTCGAGTGGAATCAAAATGGGAAGTGACGAGTGGGTTGTCAGTATGAGGGTAACATGGAGGAGAGTGTGAGGAGGAGATGATAGATTATGGTCAAGTATAGACCCAACTGAAGAGGACAGCGCCAAACTCGGCAAGGTGGAGATGTATTATTGAAGCCCTATGTTCTATTCGAAACCCAAGGGATTTATAATAATGTAAGGGAAAGGAAGGCGAACTGAATTTTTCATACTCACTTTTGATAGAGATTCTTTTCGATTTGAATCTCGGAAAAATCATGGTTTTCCATACTACTAGGTAGGTTACTGTTAAGTTCTTACTTGTTTTGCAATAGGCAGGAGCAGTTAAGTGTTAATCTCGCACTCTATCATCATAAGATCAATGTTTCGACCCAATGATGTTTTTAGTTGTACTTCTTCTGACTTCCTTTGTGAGGCTGGTGTCGGTGCTGGTGAACACTGAAGTAATGTCTAGTGATCCTGCCTATTAGAACTAGTATCATTCTCGACGGAGGTGTAAATCTCCCAAGGTGGCTTCCACGTTTGCTGGCTGGCAGTACTATCATAAGTATTAACGTATCATGCAGCCGTCTGTTTGTAGACTTTTCTTCAGTATATTGGTATCAACTAACTGAGAACTTAATGATAAAACTGCTGTATAAAAAACTTTGCTGTATCGGTTTCTTGTGGATCGAGCAACAGCAACGAAGTTCAGCTGGTTATGAAATATCTAAATAGTGACATGAATTCTGGATATTCATCTTCCGACAACAGTAATAATTCTCGATAACATTATTATAGGTTTCTGAGCTACCAAATAAGGAGCTGGCATTACTTCCGGGAAAGGTGGTTCGATAGTGTTGTTAGCTTATAAGCGGGACGGTAACTGTGCTTCGTATAGCTTCATGAATACATGAGGTTTTGTCGCACTAAGTTGCTTGAGTGTGAAGTAGACATCCAAGCTTGGATTAATTTGAAGTGGCGTAATCTATGACATTTAAGACTGTACAGTTATTCATTCAGTAGCTTGTTTTACCCACTTTTCATATACGGAATAATTTTCGCACTCACTGAAATTACTACTGCCTCGTTTTTAAGGTGCATTGAAATTGTGAAAATACTGAGTTCAACAATATACTGCAAACTACCACAAGACAACCAAAATTTCACGAACCCCTGTAGGCCAATGGTTGTTGTAATGTTTAACTACACAAACCAGCCCAATGAATCAGTAGTCTGCCTATCTTGTAAGTGCTGATAACAAGACTTAAATCCAGGAGACTCAGTTATTTTGTAATGAGCCTTGATGAGAAGTATATTGGAATACAACGAAAAGTCAAAGTTATTTCTGGAAGGAATCTTATAACTCACCTGGATAGTATGGCTGGACTACGGAATCAGAGTATGTGTGTTAATAGCACAAGAAAAGAGAGCGAAGTGGCGTTTGAGCTTATCTAGATGTGTACTCGTCAGAAAAACTTAAAAAAACATCCATGGCTTCCAAAGCCAGGCTAGAAGTTTATTTAGTTGATATCAAGTTGATTCGGTTTGATCTATACATTTTAGCCCTAGGTTGATTGTAATCCCATGTGAGGTGCACTACAAGCCCACTGTAGCTATGGCAGTGCAGTATCTAAGGTGTAACCACACAGAAACCCATCCAGAATCAATCTATGCTGCATCTCCACCAACCAGCGAGGAGAAAACGTCTATTGGTTCTATTGGCTTACACTGTTTGGTTAATAGTCTATTGGATAATGAACGCATCGACAACGAGAGTTGTTTAAATTAGCGGCGGATCCCAATTGCGTGGTTTGGTATTTAATTCAGCACGTAGTGGGAATTTCCCCAGCCTAATTTCACCCCTCTCAGCCCATATCCAGCACTAACAACTAGCATTATTTCATCTGGTAATCTTATTTTTAAGATTTTGTCGCGTTAATTAAGCACCTAGCGCTATTTTTAAGCACAACCAGCGTTATATTAGTACATAGTGGGTAGATAAAAAGTTCATTTACCATAAAAAGGCATTATCAACTCATAGGTTAGAATAAATTTAGAATTGTTGTAAGCTTGGGAAGTATGTATTTATCCCCGACTCACTCTATGCTTATTCCCTTTATTTAATTAAGTCAGTATTGCTGAGTTAGCACCACTCCTTAGGTGTAGTTAACTACACCTCACCAAATACTTCTCCGAATTTCCTGTTAATTTCTTGATTGTCGCAGTTTCCACGTAATTTCTCTGGAGTCTTTAGAATACCACACAATTGCGATGAGATTTCAGACCAACTTCATATTTCAGTTCCAAGTTTTGTTACTAGTGGGCGGCTTCAAGCCCATCGTAATCCTCTCATGGCCATTGTCTGAGATTTGGACGATTGTACTAAGCTCTTAGTTCCCGACATATGGGTCACATGTTCGAGTCTGGCGCTACCCACTTCAACCTGGGTAACTGGGTAGTAACCCTCCTACGACGAAGTATGGCTGTCAAACTGGCACATGAGAAATCTGTTCCCGGAAACAGCCTGGAGAAAGCTCGTGGACGAGTCATTTGAGGGCACAGACGCCATGAATTAGTCTCAGAAAACGATAACCAAATATAATCAAAGTGGAAATCTATTGAAGGGATGTATTTTTTGCATCTCCTTAAATGCTTGAAGAAGGATGCGTATACGAAAGGACACATGGGATTTCGAAAGTTTAACTTAGATTTCGTGATATGCCAACAAATCACGACAGGAAGTTCACATGCTTATTAGATTGAAATAGTATTAATCTGTCCCTGTAATAGTTTCAACGTATAGTGATTTGTGAACTATGACCGTCGTAGGATTTTGACCAACATCTACGGCGAGCTTAAGGTAGAACATGTAGTAGATGGTTAGAGGTAGTCGGCAGGAAGCCTTGAAACTCGGCTACGTGCTTAGTGGCACTCTTCAAAAAGGCGTATCTGCAGTCCTGAGGGGACTGTCACTTCTGAGATTCGGATGCGGGTCACCCAGTGCTTCATTCAGTGGTGTTACTAACCATCTAATATCAGAAACTCAGAGTGCACCACGATGACTACATTAGTAACTTCACTAATAGAATTCGGCCTGCACTAAAGTAGGGACTAGATGCATGACATTAGTTGCTAACTAGTAAAATGTAATAGTTTTGCCAATGAAGTATGTTTGGTAAGCTGCAAGCATTCTACAACTCGCTTCCTGTATTCTTGTGTTCCCATGACTCACAAGTGTAAGGTAAAATATGGTTCACTGACCTATTCTAATGGTATTCAACTCTCACAGTATCTTAATTGGCACTATTTGGAAAACTAGCCAAGCTTGGCGCTCTGAAACATGTTTAGAAGACAAGCATGCTGATTCTCCTGTAACTCAACCCTTAAAAATATGCCCTCCATAAGTTGTAAATCCATAACTTTTCATTGTTTCAAACACATCTATTCACTCATATATATATATATATATATATATATATATAGTAATGACAGGTCTGTCTGTAGAATAAGGCCTTACTTTCTACTACTTATGTGTATTCATATGTCAAATTATTTTTGCATTTTCTTACAGACTGAATTTCTGACGCATTTTACTTAACTATTCCTACTGTTGCTGAATACAGACTTAAAAATGTCTTCGGATGATGATCTGTTCCGCAGTTATTCTCCTAAGAAGACTGATGTATTTGACAACACAGGTGATTTGTTCTCTGAGTCTTTCATTGAACCAATCCGAGTAAAGTATGTGATAAATTTCTACTTATGATGTATTTATCATTTTAAAGAGGAAAACGGAAAGAAAAACAACAAGATATAGTCCCTGGTGTCAGTGAATTTATTCCAGACTTTTCATCTTATGAAAGGCATCAATTAATTGTTGAATCGGATGTTAGCCATCCTGCTGCTAGTCTTACAGATCAAATGTCAAAAAGTAAGTGATTCAGTATAATTCAATTAATATTTTATAGTTAATCAAGAAAATATTACTCAACCTGATCACATTCCAAATTCTGTTGTTGAGCCTAAGCATCACATGATAGGTGGAAGTTCAACTGCTGCATTCTGTAGTACCCCTGGTCCTACGAACAGTTTCGCATCAAGTTCGCTTAAAGTTGATGGTGCAGTAGCACCAAAAACAGTATCAGGGGATGTTCTACTAAACGCCCTTCAAGTAAGTTGTTTGTATTCTTTATTGTTTTGTCTTTGAATGGTTAATCGTCATTTTTATGTTTGATTGTATTGAGTTTTTATTTTAACGAATTCTAAATGCCCATTTTTAATTTGATTCTATTTCAAATATGTTCAGAACGCAATGCTAGTTGACACAGGGCTAGGTTGAAAATGAGTTAGACGGGAGGGATTTAGTTGGAATGTGGTATCATACCATTAAGTCTTGAGCTGCAATCTGCAAATCTTCGGCATGCAATTCGCTCCCGCCAAATGTAAGACGATGCTGTATGACTGGACTACATTCACTCCTAGCTTAGAAATAGGGAGTGAAGGGGCAGAGCGCATTGACCGCTTTACTTATTTGGTAAGTTGCATCAGCCAACGCCAGCGGGTTAATCGTTGACGAAATCTCAGCACGGATACAGAAGGCTCGTTTCGCAAATGCCAGTTTACGCCGTCTCTGGCGTAGACGTGATATCCGGCTGGCTGTTGACCAAAGGGCGGGTGTACTGCTCAGCAGTCCGCTCCGTGCCCCTTTGTGTCTATGAGACCTGGCCATTGAGAGTGGAAGACATGAAACGGCTGGCTAGCTGTCTTTGATCATAGGTGCTTGCGTTCTATCTCCCGTGTGAAGTGGCATAGTAGGGTAAGCAATACTGAGGTTAAGCGTCGAGTGCTAGGTAAGGAGGGGAAATCAGTCGACGAGGCTGTAAAGCTAGATCGACTGAGACAGTTAGGAGGTGTGTTACGTATGTCTAGTCATCGCCTTCCTCGACAGACGGGCAATGTTAGCTGACACAGGGTCAGGTTGGAAAAGAGCTAGCACGTGGTGGTCAAACCAAAACATGGCACCAGTCAGTGAAATCCACAATAGTTAGTTTAAGCCAGTCACGTAGGAAGGTGTAGACTTCCTGACTGGTTGGGGTCCTCGGGATGGTAAACACCAATGACTGGAGACAATGGGTGATATGGCTGAAAATCGTTCTCAATGGTTCGGTCGGTCGGTCGGTTTTCGACATAGAACTTTGCACATATGTCCGGCAGTTCAAGTCGCCTCAATGGTTGGCACAGATGCATCCACTCCTTGTGACTTATGATTTCCAATAAAACTATATTGTTCTTCGTTATTACTATTCCTTTTGTCTCATATCCCTGTCTACTGTTTCCACTTTGCATTTCTTCTTTCTTCTCTTGCTTTGTGTGCTACATGTGGGGGGGGGGGGGAGTGTGGCGGCTTGAACTGCTGCACATCGGTGCAAAGTTATAAGTTGAAAACAAACAGTCAATTTATAAGCAACAAGATGGATCACTGTTTCATGTAGGGGCCTGCTCTCTCATGTAGTGTTATACGTTTTGTGCACGCTAGTTGTCTATGGACCATTGCATACATCTTGAAGTAGTTAATGAGTTGTACAAATGCACACATTGTGTTTTCTATTCTGTCGATGTATTCTAACGCATTATTGTAATTGAGATTATGAAATTAAACGAGGCATTGAAGTTGCTTATAGGTAAAGAGGAAAGCGTCGGAACACTTGTCCGATTTGTTTGTACTCTTATGACTGGATGTTGAACATAACTTAATCTCGTAGGTTGACTAGGTTTTATCGTGTCTACTTTAGTCAGTATAAGACTTATTGATTTTTACAGCTGGTATAAAAGTCTAATTTTTGAGTAAATAGGGGAGAGGTTTGTATATTTTGGGCATCGAAATTCGGGACATCCATCAATGACTTGCATATTAGTGCGTTCATTCAAATCCATAGACATCACTATGAATTTTTGATGTATGGGGAAGTTAGAAAGACGATGAGAGCTTAGCGCGATTAGTAGGCCATCCGGTTTGGTTAACGTATCTACACCAAAGTCATCCACCTTAGCTACAAATCTTCTCCATCATTTCTGTATGTGTTATGTGACTTTCTTTTATGCAGAGTTAAACATCGATCCGTCTGCTTTCCCACCCCTGTATACTTGACTCTTTGTGTTACTGGATGACTGATGTCATTATTAAAATTTACTAGAATATTTGAGAATTCCAGCCATGTTAAATAGTTCTTTCTTTCGGATAGCAGTGTGATCAATTCTATGAAAAGTCTGTTCTAATTGGTTGAACTATGAAGAATGATGACTTTTTTAGTGTGAGAAATGACGTGTCAGTTTTCTTACTAATTACTACTGTCATTATGAAAATACTAAATTGGTACATTATGGGTATCGAATGATGCGCCACGCAGGAACTCATTGTTTGTACGAGGGTTGGGATAGTACCCGTACTCCCAGATTGGGTCAGGTGGTTGTCCTGAAGGACTATCCCTTCTCATGCCTTTGACTTGAAGTCTGATCCACAAGACAGTGAAGCAGCGTCAAGAGCTACGTCCCCATACTTTCCGATCCGATCCGTTTGGGTTCTGGAGCCATGTACCCCAGCATAGGTTTAGTGTCATGATTTTCTATCTACCCTAGGTAGACTTACATATGCAAGAGTTTGGTTGTAAGCGTCAGGTATCTGCATTTGAATTTTCACTTTTGTGAAGGACACCCTCAGTGACTCCGTGTATTGATCGACCATGGCTGACTCTGTAGAACTGCTTGCGCCTGATGACATCGTTTACGTAATCCTGAGGTCCGGCAGCATATGTGTGGATACACGGTGAAGGTCACTTTACACTGAATGTGATCATCATGAAACACCGGCTTCGGTGGCTTGGATATGTGCTATAAATGTCATCCCAGATGCTATAGAACTAGATGGGAACAGCAGAGATGTAGTTAGCCTGTGACAGCGTGGCAATGGGATGAAGGATATTGGTTATATTGGTTAGGTTAACATCCGTTGGTACATAACGCCTCCTTTGGTGGGATCGAAGAGATAATTCGATTCGGTAGCTTGATATATTATCAGGTAAAAGCAAAAGTCACAATTAGTGTTAAACATATTGTAATTCACTCCTTTCTTCTGAACCTCTGTGCTTTTCTACTGCTAAGAAAAAGGTTAGAAGTCAGCAACATGGTGGCGTATTTAGTCACAAATCAGAATACTTCTACATAACCAAAGCAAAGTAGCTAACGAGCTTCATTTGGATTAACAGAATGTTGTTGTTTTGTGTTATTCTCAATTGTTCTTCTGTTGAGTCATGCAAACGTATAGATGAATGTATCTGACACTGCAAGAGATTTCATTTATTTCTATGCTTATTTTAATTTGAGTGCACAAAAAGATGTTTGTTTAAAATTACAATCAAAAGAAGAGAGAAGGTACATTTCACTAAGAGACAACAGCAGTTGGAGAATCATTAAACATTTAGGAGTACTGGACAACCATTTTCATCCTTGTTTGGAGGTTTAGAGTACGACTGGTTAGCTGTTTTTGATATAGAACCTTGCAGAGAGGTAGGACAGTTCAACTTGCCACACTCCAAGTAAGAATAAAGAGATACAAAAGAACAATGATATGCAGAAATTTAAAGTGGAAAGAACAGTAACATGGAAAAACATTAGGGATTAGTGGCTATGAGAAATCATAAGGAGTGGAATGCATCTCCTCCATCATCGAGAACGATTTCGAGCCATATCACCAATTGTCTCCAGCCTTCATTCGTTCTTACCATCCCGAGGACTTTAAGTAGGAAGCCTACATCTCTCAACGTGACTGGCTGGAACTTACTGTCAAGGCCTCCACGGAATAATTCCAAGTTGTGGTTTGACCATCATCACTAGCGCTTTTCCAACCTGATCCCATATCAGATAATATAGCCCGTCGTTGAGGAAGGCGATGGCTAGGCATTTGTGACACATTTCCTAACTATCTTAATCGATGAAGCTTCACAACTCCATCGACTGATTTCCCCTTCCTATTTAGCACTCGACCGATGCCTAACCCCAATATTGCTCACCCTATTATGACACGAAACGCGGGGATAGAGTTCAGATACCCATAATCAAAGACAGCTGGCTGGGAGTTTCATGTCTTCTACTTTCAATCAACGACCATGTCTCAGTCATAAGGGAGGACGAAGCGAACTGCTTCTGTACATTACACACATCCTGTGATCGATAGACAGCTGGATATTACGTCTACTAAGCCAGAGATGGCGTAAGTTTGGGAATGTCACATGAACCCTTTGTATCTCTGTTGAGATTTTGAATTCATTAGCCATTCAATTCTATCGACGTAACTGAAAAATCAGTGGGCTCGCATTGTGTCCTGAAGGTCCTAGGTTTTATCTCTAGTTGAGAGGGGGTGTGAGTGCTCACTGGTGAACAGTCCCGAATTTTGGTCAAACAGCTGCCCAATGCTCCCTAGTTTCCAGTGATTCTTTCACTGATTCCCGTTCCTAATCTAACTTGAAAAGAAATAATCACTCGATGTTTATGTTCCACTGGAAATAACATTATTCTTACTGGTTTAAGTTTAATAGGTCAAGTTAAACTTTGAGCACCAATAACTACCAATGGAGTGCGACCGCATGAATGACCTTGAAATGCTCATTGAGCAAGTTAGTGAAACCTGGCAAATAATGTCGTCATCATCAATAAAATATGCTCATCGAAATGTTATGCTATTAAATGGGATATCTGGCAAGTTTCAGCTTAGGTTTGGGAAAGATTCAGTTACGGCTTAGGCCAAGAACAAGCTAGGGTTAGGTTAACCTAATAAAGGCGACATTGGGGTTGATTCGAGTTAGATTACAGTTAGTTTAGGGATATTTTCATGTCAGGGTTAGGTTCACGAAAGATCAGGGTTATTGGTAGGGTTAGAAGAACTAAATAATTACATGCATAGAATGTGGTAAAATTACTCTGTTGATATAAGAATAGAACTTGTGCACTATGGCAGAGTATAACTCCATTATGGATAATTTCTTTTGATAAAATCACACTGTTATACAGTAATATTTACTGATGACGTTTCGAGCAGCATTTATTGCTCAATAAATATTAATTTATTGCACTGTGGGACTGCATCAAAGTGAATTTTACCCACAATGGAATTATACTCTGTTGATACTCCAACCTTAAACTGAGAGCTATTTTTATCACATGTGAGAGGAAGTCATATCCTCTGTAACACTTTCATACAGTTTTTATGCATTTTTTCCCCCCATAAATATATGTATTGCATACACAAAAAAGTGCCTCCTTCACGTGATTAGTGCATTCGAGGTCATTCGCTGATTGATAGTTAGTAGTGGTGCTTAAAGTTTAACTTTGCCGTTTAATGTGAAACAGAGAATTGTGTTCAAAAACTATTGGTAGTAGTTGTGTTGTTGATGCTTTATTAATAAAGACTATTGTAATCTTACTGAATAAAATTACTAATTAACTAACTCTTACTGTACTATATATATTGCATTAATAGAATGTATATTTGTTTGTTCTGTGTGTGATTTTTAAGATGAAATTTATGTGTTTTTTGTTATAAAATGTGATTGTAGGTGACACCGATTCATCCGGTGTTTGCAAATCAAAATATATCGCCAGCCTGTGAAATGGAGAAGACTTTATCACAGTTGGATTATCATCTAAAGGATACACCATTACAACACAATAATAATAATGATGGCCATAATAATGCAACACATTATTCACCTTCATTACGTAACCGTGAAGTGGTGAGTGTAGTATAGCATTTCTTTTGTGTCGACTCCCTTTTAGCCCTTTTTCATTGTCACTATTTTAAGTAACAACAAAGTGAGCAAAGAAATATGCATTCTCATACATTTGGTTCCCTTGATAAATTTCGATAGAGAAAGAAAGACCAGATTTGCAGTATAAAATGATATCATTCTATTCCACAGGTTCTCATCAGCTGCAAACTACCTGAAATTACAATGGTTATAATTAATAACATTTTATACTTCATTGTTTGTAAGGTAATACAGAAAGCATTATAAGATAAACGCATCCGGAATATAAGGATTAAAATTTTTTGTAGTTTGAGTTACCATCAATTTATATACTATCAAACTATGGCAAAAAGAAAGAAAAAGGGGGTGAGAGAAGACAGAAAACGCATAAGGAGAACGGGTATCCAAAAGGATTTATCCTGAAGTACAGCAAAGAAAGAGATGAGAAAGAGAAGCATCCAACAGTTGAAAAGAAGAAAGTATTCATTTGCCTCCCATACAAAGGAGAAACAGTATCGCGAAAGATTGAAAAAAGGATGAAAGGAGCAATCAAGAGATACTTCCCTGCAGCCAATCTAGTGACACTATACAGTACTACATGCTTTATAAGCCAATCGAAACTGGATAAACACCCTGCTGATGTTACCTCCAACTGCATTTATAAATTTACGTGCACCTGCGGCAGCAAGTACATCGGGAGGAAAGAAAGAAGTGCTTCTATCCGGTTTTCAGAGCATATTCCGAGAAACTTATGTTTAAAAGGAAGCAAATATTTACAAAGTGCAATTACTAGACACCTTGTGGATACAGGCCATTTTGTTGAGATTTTCAAATCCTTCAAAATATTAAACATACAAAGGACAGCGAATCTACTACGCTTTGCTGAAGCAATTGCAATCAAACGCCTCAGACCAAACTTATGCACACAGAAAGGGAGTGTAGTCAATCTCTCACTCCCTTGGTAACCATATCACTTTCATTACACTGATTACTCATAGACACTAGTGAGTTCAACTCACTAAGCAAGTTTTCAAACTGATGAACTTTGACCTTGTTGAGTTGCCATGTTAACACTGTTTATTAGATTTTTCTGTTTTTTGTCTTCTCTCACCCCCTTTTTCTTTTTTCATAGTTTGATAGTATCTAAATTGATGGTAACTTAAACTATTAAAAATTTTAATCCTTATATTCCGGATGCGTTCATCTTATTATGTTTTCTCTATTACCTTTCAAACAATGAAGTATGAAATATTATTATTGATAACCATTGTAATTTCAGGTAGTTTGCAGTTGATGAGAACCAGTGAAATAGAATGATATCATTTTATACTGCAAATCTGGTCTTTCTTTCTCTATCGAAATATGCATTCCTTTCAAATAAGTTCCTCATCACCATCACCTGGCTCTACACTACTACTAATATATGTATAGTTTTTTTTACATAAAGTTTTTTACCAATCCTGTGGTTATTTTCATCCATCAGCTTTAGGTATTGGCGGGTTGGGAGTGGATGGGTGAAATGAAGAGGTTGAAAGTCATTTTAAAAAAATGAACTAATAGATGTTAGTAAACATGATATCCAAGTTTTAAAGGAGGGAGAGGTGAAAATGAATTAATTACGGAATTCAGGATAAGTTAATTCGTGGGGGTTAACAACAAGTTACTACATAATCAGGAAATTGGTAAAATAGCCATGATAACTAAGAAGAGTTATGTAAAATACAAGCAAGTTAATAGAATTAGCTAGAATTGTAAAAATAACAAAGTTGAAACATAGTTACATGGGGGGAAAATCATTTCTAAGAAACTTGAAACATATTATGTATATAAAAGAAAAGAAGGCGTTCAGCGAAGAGACTCTTTTCGGCGAATTCATTCACTGAGCTGTACAATAGCATTTATATACAATTTTGTTTGTGTGTGTGTGTGTACATTAGATTTATAAAGTTTAGATAATTACTTAATGTAAGTATTATTTGGCTTGGAAACAAACGTTAATTAGATAGAAAATAAAATAGAATAAAATTGGTTAAGTGAATTGGATGACGTAATACAATTGAGTAGAATTCTCAGTAGTTCAGGTTGGCAACAGTGTTAATGAGTGGTGGTTAAAATTAATTAAGGGTGGGGGTAGAGAATCGAATCTGGACACCAAGTCAAACCACAAATAAACTTCAAAGTTATCTACAGAATACAAGGTAATCTTGCTAAAAGTGTACGGATCAAACTTGTCCACATCGCAGAAGCAATGGCAATTCATCTGCTAAATCCTGAACTCTGCATACAAAAGAAATTCGTCATTCATTAAATCTACAATGGACGTAATCTTTCTTAATTTCAGTCTTACTAATTGTATTATTTTGTCTTTTGCATTTTATTATTTCACATCTTCATTTGTACTATTCTCTACCCCACCCTTTTGTAATCTCTACCCTCATTAACAATGTGTTGCTAACTTGACCCACGTCCAATTTCTAGTCAACTATATTACGTCATCCGATTAACTTACTTAATTTTCAACTGTATTATTCTCTAACCCCACCCTTATTTAGTTTTAACCACCACTCATTAACACTGTTGCCAACCTGACCTACCCTGAATTCTACTCAATTGTATTACGTCATCCAGTTCACTTAATCAATTCTATTTTATTTTCTATCTAATTAACGTTTGTTTCCAAGCCAAATAATACTTATATTACGTAATTATCTAAACTTTATAAATCTAATGTACACACACACACACACAAACAAAATTGTATATAAATGCGATTGTACAGCTCAGTGAATGAATTCGCCGAAAAGAGTCTCTTCGCTGAACGCCTTCTTTTCTTTTATATGACTGAATGGGGATTTCCAAGTTATTATGTAAATGAATAAAGCAAGAACAACGGTTGTTTGTGCAGAATAATATGGTATACCATCATTGTTTATTTCGTTGGCTTCTCATCAGTTCAACTGCTCACAGCCTAAATAAACTATGAAGTTTATGTACAGAAAAGGTTTAACATACTTGCAAATTTCTCATGATATCAGTTGACAGAAGGTTACGCAATTAGTGAACAGTGCTCAGAAAGTGGCTGTACAAATTTCTTATGAACACACAGATTTTGCTTGTTCAGATGAATTCCGACTGCCTTTGCTGTATGTAAAAGTCGCACTGATAGGCCATGCGAGGGGGGTTGGGTTATATTACCGAAAATGGCGTATGTCAGTAACCACTCCAATTAGAAAATGGGATCTGTTTTCGCAATATATTTGGGGTCATATACACTGTATGATTCATTTTATATATTCTGTAAAAATATTTTTTATGCTAAACAGATTGGTTAGTTCAAGTGCCGATGACATTGGTATCTATTCTTTACCTTTATTGCCTTTATTAGCAACTCGATGTACAGATATAAGCAAAATACGTCTACTACTATATTATATATAATCGCAATTTGCACCTATCTTCCATATTGTGTGACTATAACCTTGTGTATGGGTGCTTCTATGTCTTACTTCCATGTTTCTCATGTTGTGTGTTTCACAGGCATCGTTCATTTCTTCACTACAGCATTAAATCCATCTCTCCGCTTTTCGATATCCCTGCAGATGATATACATATTTTTATGTGTCTATATACTACTACTACTACTTATAAATTTGGTCAGTAGGCCAATGCTACAATTTTAATTTTGTATTGTACTCATTTATTTATTTATTTATTTGTTCATTTTTCAATGAAGGCCGTTCAACTCACTCCAATCGATTTTTTCAATCCTCTTCATATGTCACCGTATAATCCTTCAGATGAACACAGACAAGACTGTCAACAACACCAACAACAACAACATCAATTTCAATCCCCAGGATTGAGTAAACCTGCTGGAGCTGGCAAAAAGTCGAGTTCATACACAAAACGATTAAGTCGACACTTTCGTCATGAAAATATGATATTGAATCGTTCATATTTGGTGAGTTATTTGTTCAAAATTGTTATAATTAAATTTTTCAAGTGTTAGTAGTTTGTTGTAGGGATTTGAAGTGTTTTCAGTTAAACCATAGAGAGAGAGAGAGAGAAAACCTATTTACAGAACACTCAGATTCTAGTCGATTGTTCCGATTTAAAGTGTGATGAAGGCTTGAACAAAGAAAAAGCAACTGATTAAGTAGGATAATAGGACACCTGTTTTCTCTGGCTACATACTGAAGATCGTCAGATGTGACTGGCCAGAGAATATCAGCAACAAAAACTCTCTAGGAACAAACTAACCAACAATCTCTGTGCCGGGGAAAATAGAGCTGGATTGAACACATCGTTGGGAAGGCTGTCGGGTGACATCGCGAGCCAGACAAATCCTCGACTGGAATCAAAATGGGGAACGACGAGTTCGCTCTCTAGCTGACGGTGACATGAAGGAGATCGTGTGAGAGGAAGGGATGGAAGCTTGTGGGCAATCGTGGAGTCAACTGAAGAGAATAGGGCATAATAGAGATGCGCTGTTGAGATCGTATGTTCCCCATGGGATTCCAAGGGAATAATAATAACAGGAGAATATCATTATACATACGATTTTATTTTGATAAATCACACAGTGTTATACAGTAATATTAACTGATAACCACGTTTCGAGCACAAACTATTGCTTATTATCATATCAACTCATAGGACAAAGCTGCCCATTGAAGAAATTATTTTAAGAATTCAGTTATGCCTCACATCTACTATCTTTAAATTCCAAGGCAAAATATATAGACAAACACAAGGTGTAGCGATGGGATCACCAATATCCCCTATCGTAGAAGATATATTTATGGACAGCTGGAAAAATATTGCTCTTTATACATTTAATCCTACTCCAAAAATATGGTGGAGATATGTGGATGGCACTTTCACACACACTGTTAAAAGCAGAACATATCTCTAGCTTCTTGACACATATAAACTCACTAGTAGAGGGAATACAATTCACATTTGAATCGGAAAATGAACAAGGAGAATTAGCTGTAGTGTTAGATTATAAAATAAAACGAATAGAAGAAGGTGAACCGCAGAGTAGCATTTATAAAAAGCCAACGCATTCTAATATTAGATATTTGGACTTTAATTCATCTCATCCGTTATCTGTCTCTAAAGGCAGGCTCAGTTAGGTGTCTAACAAACCGAGCAGTAGCACCAATTAGCACAAGAAAAGACCTAAATGATGAAATAAAACAGATAGAAGAGGCGTTGGTTCTAAATAACTATCCTCTAAAATTCATTAGGAAAATTGAAAAAGGCCAAAATAAAAATAAAAATAATTGTGAGACTAGTAATGATAACATAAATAAGAGAGAATATAAGTCATCTACAGTTATACCATATAAGGAGGGGACATCTGAAACCCTACGTAGGATTCTAAATAAAGCAGGAATTAGGGTGGCATTCAAACCCACAAACTCACTCAGGGACAAGTTTTGTAGGTTAAAGGACCCAGTTGACCCAATTAGACAAAATAATATAATTTACAAAATACCCTGCAATGACTGTGCGTTAGGTCAACTACATAGGTCAAACTAGTAGGTTGGGAGTAATCAGATTGTTGGAACATAATAATTTAGCTAAGGTAAGAATGGTTGACCCCGAAAAGATAAGTAATTTAGAAAAAAAGTTCAGCAGTTGCACTGCATGCATTAACACACAACCACACAATAGGGTGAGATAGAGTCAAAATCTTAAAAAGTAATCTAGGTAAGTGGAGAGAGAGGTTGATTACTGAATCCTGCCTGGTTCAGCGAGTCTACACCCAACACAACACATGCAACAGAAATGACTCAATTCAAATACCCGAGATACCTATGGAAAATATTATTACCACCAGTGAAATCAGAGGAGGATAATAAATAATCTCAAAATTCTATTTCAATTCAAGCACATCACAACATTCTAACAAGTTGCTTATTATGACTATAAAAACACTCGTCTTATTTCCCATCTGATTGTATTTGATTGATAACACTCATATTATTATTTCTGAATGTACATTACCCCATACTGATTTTTATTCAAATGTCTAATCATCAATTCCACTCATGTATATAAATGAAGCAAGAAAGTTGTGTGAGTAGTGACTTGATATGATTATGAGCAGCAATAATTTGTGCTCGAAACGTGGTCATCAGTTAATATTACTGTACAACACTATGTGATTTATCAAAATAAAATCTTATCCATGATGGAGTTATACTCTGTCAGCACAGTGCCCAAGTTTTATACTTATATCAAGAAGGATATCATTTTATTTTGTTGGTTATTGCCAACTGCATACAACTTGATATTATCCAATACACGCTTACTGACACTTGTTAGTCTTGCCTTTTAACTTGTCCCTCGTATAGTGAATTACATAACACTGGTGGCCTCAATCTCCGTGTTATAAATAACCTAAGTATGCAAATATATTGTGTACGCTGTATGCAGTTGTTCACAAGATCCGACAAATAAAATGTAATATCCAATTATTTTCAGTGTGTGTCGGTTTACAGGGATTTGATCGGCTTCTTCAAGTTAAGTTGTGAAGTGATATCGATTAGATAGAGACATTTAAAAAAAACAACCATGGAGTATACTGGATATCTGTTTAGTCCTAGTTTGCGACTCTTCATCAGTACCCTTCCGTGACTCCACCGATGACTGTGTCAACCCAGGTCCTATAGAGGTCGCTAAGCAAGCTTATTTGTCACTTGAACATTGGTTCCTCCAACTGATGTCATTTCTCGATCTCTTACCTGAAATAATATCAGGTTGTTGTTGTTGTTCTTGTTTTTTTTGTTCACCCGACCGAAAGCTGCTACCTTGACGTGGTGGTCGGGCTTGAACACCGCAATGACCCAACAAGCTATACTGGCTGGAACTTATGTTCCTGCAGGTCCTACCATGCCAGGAAGGTTGTTTGGATAGCGGTTAGACTAAAAGCAGTTACCCAATCCAATCCTATGACTTCAAATAAATCACAAAATATCATGCCGGATCGGTCGGGGTCCGGATTAACAACGACCGCGCTTTCTGCTGCCGTGTCACAGGGCAGAAGTGATAAATACGCTACTGATACACACCAAATAAAAAAGAACAAACAAAAACAGGCCGTGTGTGACCGGCCTCAAGCAGTTGTCCCCTGGGCTCTGCGGTCACGCAACCAACTTCCACGGTGTGGGCAGCCGGGAAGTAAAAATCGCCCTCACAATCCGAAATGCACGCGAAACCTCTCTAATCCTCACTCACCTTTGTCTTCATCTGTTTTTTGTTCAAGTTTATCAATAGGAAATAATTCTTTTTTGTCAGTCAATAATGAGTGGTTGTCATTCAATCGCATTAAAAGTATTTTCCAATTATCTTAAATGTTTGTATAGGAATTACATGGAGCTGGGGATGCTAAAGGAGCCTTGTTAAAGATTTGTGGACAAACCGACTACAAAACATTTACTCAACTTTTGGTTCCTGCGTAAGTTACACTTATTTCTGAGGTAAAAAATAAGATTTTGTTTGAAGTAGCTGTAGTAGTTGTTGTTATTCGGTTTTTTTTGTTGAGTTCTCTGTTGGGCAAAGGGGGCACCTCTTCATCGCCCTTTCATTTCCCTGCTGTCGTTTCCCTTTATTAACTGGTTCTATGATTACTACTGTGGTGAGTGCTATCAGTAAGCGAATTCAGAAAAGTAACAATGTGTTATGAGGCACTGGAAAATGGCAATCGAAGAAAAGAAATGTGAGAAGAACGTTACAAACACTTTGCAGAATCCAACAAGCTTTTGAATGTAGTGGGTGATATTCGACCACTTTGCTAATGATATGCAAATAAAGCATTGGGGATATGGTTTTCTAAATTTATGTACCTGAAATGAGTTTATCCTTTGAGCCTCATTGGTCTTTCCTTTCTTACACTACTATTCATATAATCTCCTCTGTGTCACCCTCAGGTGCTCAGTTGGTCGCTTCAATCGATTTTCGCTCCATACAGTGCATTATTTTGGCGCCGGGACCAGGGTGATCACGAATGCCATGGCCCCAGGTGGAGGCTCGCTTTTGTACTTCGGCGTGTTGAAGCCTGCGACGATCCTTAATCGGGCTCGCTCGTAGTGGGGAGGTCTTCGGATCATCCCTTTGTTGTGCGTCGGTGGCACAGTGGTTAGGACTCCCACCGACCATGCACATGGTCCGGGGTTCGGTCCCCTGCCAACGCACACCCGATATCTATGGTCGGCCTGCAAAATTTGGGCTACCGATATCCATGCTGAAAATTCCATACTTGTACTGAAAATACGGTGTAGCATCAAGCTGTAATCAAGAAATAAAATAAATAGTTTCTTGTCTGGTGATAGATTGTGAACGGGAAAAGACAAGAGCCTTGGTAACGGACTTTCCTATTGAGGAAAAAAACAACATCAAAATTTTACATTTTTAGCCATATTTATGGTCGGCTAGGTCAACGGGCAATAAACTGTTTAGATTGGTTTCCGATTTTCTTGAAGGTTAAACCTTGAGATGATTTCCTGACCACGATGTAACCTGGTGTACAGAATTGAGAAATAAATACTCCTACTTCTGTAGCCACTGAGTTAAACTGTTGTTTTCTACGTATATATATACTACTGATAAATCTTGTCAGTAGCACACGCCACTGTTGTTTTTCCTTATTTCTTTTAGGTCAACTTAACGCTTGTATCATGTTGTTCACAGTGCATTTAGTGGTACCATTGTGGCGTGTGCTGCTACTGATACGATTTATCAGTAGTATATATAAACAGAGATTGTCATTGACATAAAACATCATTTAGCAAGGAGATAGATTGGATGTCAAAGAAAGGAAATGAATGGTACAGCGTCGCGGAGATACATGGGAAACATGCGAAAAGGAACACAAAGGAACGTAACATAAAGGCCAGAAGTAGTAGGCACAACACGGAAGATCTGTGCAAAAGATGATTTGAAGATAGGGTATACATAATTCCCCGCATATAGAGATCCCGAATTCCAAATAAATATTCCTATACCAAGTCCATTGTCTTTTACCGTTACAGTACCTCTATGTATTTACACCTTACACAAAACACTAAACAGGTTTATTCTGGGTTTTTGTTTAGATGTGCTGTATTAGTTCAGGTATTATTTTGAACGTTTGATCGATTGACTGAGGGTGGTTGGGTGGGTGGAGTGATTGCCTCTTTTCATCTGCATCAATCTGAATAATTGATTATCCGTTTTTTAAATTCTCTACAAATTTCATTTCGAAATTTATCTAACTTTATCATATTATAAAATTTATTTCCTACACAAAAATCAGTTTAATTCTCATTTCTCATCTAAATCCTTTTAAGTGTGATTAACAAATATATTTTGTTATTGTTGTTTATGTTGAAAATTTGATAGTCGGCGAAAAAATTTGAAAAAAATCGGTGAAGGGTGTTTTGGTGAAGTATTCCGATGTCCGGCTGAGAATCGCCGATCAAAACATGTTGTCATGAAGTTTATACCAATAGAAGGAGCTGTTAAATTTAATGGTGAACCACAGAAGACTTTCGACGAAGTACTTTCTGAAGTAATTGTATCTAAGTACGTTTTTGTATTTAAAATTTAAATTATTTATCTACATTTTGGTGTGAAGAGCTTTCATAGTGAGTTGATTTTGTGGAAGTTAGTGGCTATATTATTATTATTATTATTGTTATTATTCGTTACTTGCGTTCCCAGTGGAGAGTAAGGTTCCCAGCGGTGAACACCTCCATTACACTGTGCACTCACGTGGCTTCAAGACTATTCACCACAAGCTTGCGTTTCCTACTCAGGTTATTTTCTGCGCGTCAACCTCGAAGGCTCACCTCGTCACTTCTCGTTTGGGTCACTTTCGAGGGCCCTGGAGTGTGATGGATGTCATCTAACAAATCTGTGATCTATAGACCACAATGACATAGATAAAGGTTTTATTCATCAGCAAAACGAAATTCATGTGGACAAAAGGTCAACTTTTTCAGGTCAACAAAATAATAATCGGTACTGATACACAGTGTCGACTAATTGTTTTTTTAGGTGTTCCCAGGAGGGATAACGGATATAAACTCGTGGAGAATCAAATCAAAAAAGGTCACCTCAAATTGAAGTATATGCTCTGAAGTGTGTGTGTTTAATGTTGTCTGAAAAAAGGTAATGAAAGCTTCGCAAATTAAACCATTCAGTTCAAAGGACACAACTACGCCAATAAGTTCTTGGCTGGTTCCTGACGATTGTAGCAAATTCTGTTGTAACTTAAGGTGCTGACATATGGAATTGGTGTATTTATTTCAAATACTTGTTTAAATTCATATGTTTACGTTGTTAAGATATTGATTGACCCAACAAGTTTTTAGGTGATGTGTGTGTGTGTCGGTAGTTATTCAGTGGTAGAACGCTCGTCAACTGTGTATGTGTTCTGGGTTCGAATCCAGGCCGACGTACTTCTGAATCTTTCCTAGTTAATCGCCGTTAGTAAGCCCATGGGTGAAGTGGTAAATCTTCCGTCGCTTTACAGGACTTATTATAGGTTAGACAAGGTTCAGAAGTTATGCATTGGTCGGGAGTCGGAACCGGGTCACGTGTGTGGTTGTCACCAGGATTCTGCCACTAAAATACTTACAGATGTACTGATCATCGGTTCTTCAAGTGGGATTTATTTAGCCTCTATGTTGTCATATAGTAAAATGTTGTCGTCTGCGCACTCACGGTTGAATAGTCTCAGACCAGATAGAAGGTATATGTACCGCTCTCACTATCGCTACATTCTAGACCAATTGATTGAAACCAGACTTGTTTACAGTGTCTCGGATAAGTTACTAGGCTTTCAACTTTTAGTGAATACAAGCTCTGCTTTCATGTCTCTCCTCCACACGCCTTACGAGAATCAATCTTCATCGTCGTTGTGTATATAGATACCTTAATCAGATTGTTGTAATGGCTATTCATTGGAATTGACCTATGGCGGTAGATGACTACTGGCTTCTGACCCATTTTTGTATCCCGACAATTGTGGGTCCCATCCACTGCTAAAGGATCCTAAACTAGAAGTGAACACCTTTTCAGTATTCCCTGCTTATTACTGGTTTCACCAACTGATGTCGGTTCGTGGCCAAATTATTAGTTTACAGTAATTTTAAATTGTGTAATAATAATAATGTTAATTGTAGTACTTTTCCGTCCAAACCATTTTTAAATGGAATGGGTCAAGATATACGATTTCTTTGGTTACTTGAATAACCCATGCTCGTATTAACAATTTAGTACGGCCGGTCGAGGGCAGGTAGACTCTGGTCTTTCTCTCAGAATATGGCCACGCCTTCATAGCCCCTGTCAGGTAAGTCGTATTCACTTCCTTCACGTCATAGGGGTGTTCTCCGCAAAAGTGAATGGGCGAGTTCGAAAGTCAGGAGCTTACAACCGAACTGGTGGATATCCAAGTCTACCTAAAGAAAATGGAAAATCCTGATTCTAAACCTATGGTGTACATAGGTGTACACGAATCCGATTGTATCGAATCGGTTATGGTCGTGTTCTAGCCACCAGGAACCATGGGAACACTACTTGTGGATCAGACTTCAAGTCATAGATTCGGGAGTTGTCCTTCTTTAGCTTCGTTCTGGACGGATGTCCAACTAGTATTACAGTCTTCGCACAAGCTATGCAATTTAATGTGCCTCCTCCCTCATGTGGTGCCTATAAAGTACCAAGTCTGTTGTAAATTGTAGTGAAATAATATGAATGGCGTAATCCAATGATCAATTTAAGTTTGGATCTGATGAATACGCCGTTGTATAAAAACAGATATACTGTCGAAGAATCCAAATCAGAAACTCATTTGTTCAGATCGGAAAAGATCCTGAACATCTAGCATTGCTGCCAGAAAACTAATCACTGCTTCAGGATACTATGTACGATAATCGACTCGAAAATATCAGGAAAAATATGTTGGCAATTATTTATATAGAAAACAAAGATTGAGCGAAGAAATATTTACTCTTTTCAATTAGATCCTCATCTCACTCTGGCTCTACTCTAATATACACGTGTAGCATTTTTATTACAATACACAACAGTTTACCAATCAAGTGGCACTGAAATGTTTGTTAACAATAATTAGTCAGTGTCAAAATGTCAATGGGTTGATAATTAACGAAAAAAATCAGTACACATTTAAAAGGTAGAAGTGGTTAGAATAAATTAATTTTACAAGGATAACACGTAATTAAAAATGAAATGGTCAGAAAAAATAAAAATAAAATAATTGGGACAATTATAATTTTTAAATGTTTAGGGGGAGGAGGGCGAAGTAGTCCGGTTTATACCTCATGTAACGATGGTAAGCCAAGGTAAGGAAAGTGGCTGTACAAATTTCCTCTGAACACACAGGTTTGGCTTCTTCAAGTGGATTCCTATTGCTTCAGCTGTCTGTAGAAGACGAACTCGTAGAGCAAAATTAAGATTAGTAGGAATGCGATAGGTAATTTTAAATGCAGTATTAACGTCAACCTTATGCTCACTATCATCTACAAGGTGTGCTAAAATAGAGCTACGAATAGATCTTGTTTGTCCCTTGCTTAACCATGTTAGATGGTGTTCGGAAATACGACGATGAACCTACCTGCCTAATTGTACGCCCAATGTAGCTGGCTCCGCAGCTGCAGTCAAACTGGTAGATACACATAGAAGAGGCGAATTTACGTAGTTTATCCTTATTTCTCGAACGTAGAATAGGGATGGTTGTGAACAGACAACTTACTTCTGCTGCATAACAAGCTCTCTTGACTGCATTCTTCAGGTGTTCGCTGTGTTATTATTTCGCATATGTTGTCACCGAGGAACTGTATGGCTACTTCAGGATACTATATACGGTAATCGACTCGAAGATATCAGAAAGAAACATACTGGCGATTTGAGGATTGTTTATTTATTTCTCTACTGACAATGAACCAGGACTACACAGTGGTTACTACATACAGCACATAAAATCTATGAATACTGCATGAACATAAATCATAATAATAAATTCTGATAGTGTTCCTCCAGTTTTCTGTGAAACAGTGTACGATGATTAGACCACTATCGGCATTTTGTTGCTTCCCGCTAAAGTGGAGATCAGTTCGTTCAACATTCACTATTCATTTTTCGTTAACATTATTATTATTATTACTAATATTCACATCAACTATTTTACATTATCAAGTATCTCAACATATTTTGATGTGTTTATTATCATATTTAATATTTTAGGGAATTAACAGCTCTCGGTATGGGCTTTACAAATTGTACGTCTGGCTTTGTAGAATTGATAAGGTGAGAGTTCACCTGTTGATTTTACTATTCACAGTGTGATTAAATTTGTTGCAGGTTAAATGGTGTAGAGTGTCATTATTATTATTATCAATTATTATTAGTTCATACATTTATTCCCCTTGATGAATTTTAAATAAAGCAAGAACAACAGTTTTTGCAGAATGAGATAGTTTTATCATTTATTTTATTGGCTTCTCATGTTCATTCTAACTGTATATTAGAAATTTAAACGTATCTGCGGGAGCTGCGTCGGTGGCACAGCGGTAAGGACGCTCGCCGACCACGCCTCACATGGTCCGGGGTTCGATCCCCGGCCACTGACGCACTCCTTTACCTCGCTAAGCCAGTAATAAAGCTGGTAAAGAGGAAAGTTTGGGCATGAGGTGGCTAGCAACCCCATCCTGTAGAAAATAAACACTTCTACGGAAACTTAAAGCCTCTAGCTTGGAGCCCTATGTTCCACAGGGAATGTAAGGGAATGATAAAAAAATCTGCGGGAGCAGTTACATTATTGGGAGAACAGAAAGAAGAAGAGCACACCTGTGATTTTCTGAACATGTATCAAAAAGTCTACGTCTCAGGGGAAAAAACACTTACAGTGGTGTCTTTGCCAGACATCTCCTTGTGATACGGATCAGAATTATAAAACAGGCAGAATAGTTCACTTCTCCTCGAGTTTGTTAAGGCAATCTCTGTCAAACTCTCTTTCATTTGATTACTCAATCTTTGGCTTTTACCTCACTGCCGTTTGATTTAGCGTGAGTTTGCTTGCCTTTTGTTTGTATGATTCGAGTTGAATTAAGTACATTGTTACTCAATTTAATAATTACTCATCATCCTACTCACCCATATTTTCTTGATCACGGAACTCTTTGTCATTGTGTGCATACGTTGATTTTTGTTTAGACTTGAACTCTGTATGTAAAAACTATATAAGTGTAATTTACTGAGGATTGTTCATTAAGTTTGGAGCTTTCTGTCAGATCGACATGATGTAAAATTTGCAAGCTGTTCAAAGCTGATCAGAAGCCAACTAAATAAGCAATGATGGTATACTATCATCGTATTCTGCACAAACCACTGTTGTACTTGTTTTATTTAAATAATATTGGTGACTATTGTTCTAAAGAGTCGTCTAACCGGTTATTACGAAAAAGTGCATATTTTGCGGTGTCTTTTGCAACCTGTTTTTTCGACGCTCTATATAGTGTATCAAAAAAAACGAGCAAAATGCTGTATGAAGATACATACTACTAGAGGTGGTGGTAGTATGAGCAGTCAGAAGTTTCACTCGCTTTGTTCTTTACTCATCAATAGTATTCTCTCAGCTACACCGGGACCAGTAGGCTCCAGCAGGTCGAGTGTGAAGACAAATTCTTGCCACGGATGACATTGATTAGTACCAGTCACGTTATATTGTGAATTGGTCATTGGACTGAGTCCCAGTCGCTTAGAATGGTCTACGAGCTCGCCTTATAACCGGGAAGCCTCGAACGTTGACGGCGGGTGCATACCTCTGAAGAGTCATAAACTGGGACGAAACGACAGGCTGTCCAGTCCTCCTAGGCAGTTTTGCAGTGGTTACCTAACCTATGTCAGTTCATGCTGAGATCCCGTAAACATATTTTAAAGCCAAATAATTTGGAATCACTTTGACTACTAGTATTGTTAAGTGTTGGTGCATCCTGTTTATTCAACACTTCTTAAAACTTCACGATAAAGTTGTATACTTGCTAACGTTGAAGTCTCTTTAAGAATGCTCACGCATTCTAACTGTGCTTGCAGTAGTACCAAATTGCACACGATACTACCACAATATTTTGATTATGTAATCAGTCTCCTGTTTTCTAATTATGGGCGTTTTGTAGAGACTCGTCACGAACTAATACCAGTTACACAGACCACTGAAACCCATCAAGGAATACTGGACAGCTGTTTCTTCCTATTTTAAAACTCTTCAGTGGTGACCACTTATGACGCTGCCAACGATCAAATCCGGGACCTGTCGGTTACTAGGACAAGCTCGTCAACTATCGCCGATTAAATTCCCTTCAGTGAGCATCCACTTTGCCTTGACATGGTTGACTCCACGCCTCATTACAGCTTCAGGACATCTATCCAGGCCAAGCTTCACTCGTCAGTTGAAAGTCCAGTGTTTGATTGTTGCTTGAATCGTGGGTGAGCACTGTCGAAGAGTTCCAGAGTAGAACGAAACAGCTGCCCATTGTATCCTGGTTTTCAATGACCTTCGGCTAGTATGTTCCATTATGGCAAAATCTAAATATTAACAACTCAAGTTGTGTTACTCTTCAAACTTTGATTTATATTCATAAGTGTTTTTCTAAACACTAGGCGTTTATATCCACTGACTGACTGGTCGACTGTTTTCAACATAGAACTTTACACAGAAGTGCTACAGTTCGAGTTCCCACTCTCCCTCCATATAGTACACAAAACAAGAGAAAAGAGTAAAGGGAGGTTCAAAATAGAGATAATAAACAGACGTGTGAGGGAAAAAGTATAGTAGTAATATGGGAGAACAATAGAGCTTTATTGAATATAACAAATCACAAAGAGTGAATGCATCTGCCCCAGCCATTGAGAACGAGGATTTTGAGTCATGTCACCAAATTTTATCCAATCATCATTGGTTCTTAGAATCCCAAGGATCCTGACCAGGCTGATCGGCTTAAACTAACTGTTATTCGCTCGCATCAGATAATCGTCATTCTGCTGTAACCTGTGGGCATCACTCTGCCAATGGATCGAGTTATTTTGTAAAGCAGTGGCTGACTGTGATCAGGGTGTTTCATTTTTGTTCTAAGTACTTCTTCAAAAGTTAATACAAGTACAACCTTGAAAGCGACGATTAAAAATGTACTTGCGACCGCTGGGAGTTTGAAGGTGCATCGACTGCACTTGGAAGTTAACCATGACAACCACTACACCACGATGGAAAGATTCTGTTTCAAAATTATTTAGGTGTATTAACAATCTAACATGTTAACTGTTGTTTTTTTCAGTTAAATAAACGAGCGTTCTTTTACCTCTTTATCCTTTCAGAGTTCACCTTCTGCAAGGGGCATTCCCTTTGTATTTGAGGAAATCGTGGGAGGCATACGATAGAGTGAAAGGTTCTGAAAATGACCATCCAAGTATGAAAAAGATACATATTGGTGTAATTTTGTTTTTAAAAAGTGTATACGCATTATTAACTCCCTAACCTGATTGGTTTGTTCAGCGTATTATTATTATTATTATTATTATTCCCCAAGGTTCCACACCACATCTTCACTTTGTGGTGTTTTCTACTCCCCTCTTTCGCTGACTCCACAATTAACCGTAAGCTCTTATTTCCTCTTCATACGATCTCCTCCATATCACTCTCAGTCATCCTACCCGTGTCTTTCCATTCGAGTTCCACTAAAGCGATGGCCTAGCTGCCTCCAGTCTCTTCATCGTGTGTCCGATCCATCTCCATTTTCAGAATATTTGTTGAGCAACATAGTTCTTGGTTGTTTCGTTGGCTGTTAAAGTTCCTTGTCATTTATCTTCTCTGACCGGCTATTTGACCTTTAGCATGGGGTGAGGTGGGTGGTTGAAGCCTGTTTGGTGACACGCCAAATCTCTAATTCATAAAAGAGAAGAACTGACTGACTTAACGGCAACAGTAAGGGATAGACACCAACTTCAGACGACCTTGAAACAGCCAATCAGATTCTTCCAGGTGAAAAGTGGTACAAAGTAGTGTATCTACGATATATGTAATAATATGCTGCGAAAACTGGTCCCAGGTTCTCATAGAAGTGATTATAGACACATCAAACCAATGTATTCTCTATTCCTCTAGCTGTAGCAGATACTGGTTGCATATACGCAATATACATTACTAAGGGGGAGAGCTTTGATTTCGAGAAGAAAGTGTCTAAAACAGTCACCAGTTATTTATGACTTACCAACCTATACAAACTTCCTCATATAAAGTGGTTGCATCTGAATGTATAACCATCAATAGCCCGGCAATACATATTTCCAGAGTTATTATCCCTCCACACATGCATGTTTTATTCCCCCCCCCCTATCAACACAGACCAACGGACAGACATGGAGCCAGGTGAAGACTCTGGCAGAGAACACAACGCAATGGAGACGCACGGCTGAAGCCCTATGTTCCTGTAGGAATTAAAGGATACAATAATAATAATAATCAACACATCTACAGAGAAGTCGAAAACCAAATCTAGGAGACACTTTCAAAGAGAAATATGACTAGGAACCATTTGTAATGCTGATCTATTTGATTGGTCAAATCAAGGTCATTTAACTTTGGTGTCTATTGTTTACTCTTGCCGACATTGACGTTGAAAATCTGAATCTTGTTTTTTCATCCTGGCTGTGAGTGCAGAAGGTTTCCCAACTGATTTCATTTTGATGAATGTCTGATTTGCCTTTCCTATTGTAACAGCAGAAAACAAAGGCCAGGCAACAGATCGTTTATTTAGGAAACCAACATATATTTATAGATTTTCATTTACAATTTTATAGATTATTGTTAGGAAACAAACACGGTCTTCTGATTGGTGGTTTCTCGCTGAACTTTAATCTTTCATCTCTTTGTGGCCGTTTCTTGAAGTTCAGATTATCCATCTACAAATTGTATCCGCCTACGCAAAGTCTGCTGTGATTGGTTGTTGAGTCAGTCTTTGTTCTTGTTCTTTTCTCATGACCACTATTGGGGACGTACACATTGACGTATATTACTGTCTACCGATTTTGGCTAGCAGTCAGCTCTCACCACACCATCATGTCTGGTTTTGACATCCTCATCCGTACTTTCACTTGTTGTACTTGAAACGATTCTGCTCTAAATCTAAGTAAAAGGAGGAGGAGTTGACTTCTTTCAAATGTCTACATTCGATAGTGATTAGTGCTTCTATTATTATTGGTTGGTTAGGTAGGTAGGTATCTTCATCGCCTCCATCTTTTTTATGTTCACTTGAAGTCCTGTCTTCACTGCCTCCCGTCTCCTCTGTCAACCTTTTGGTTCTTCAAAAGAATGGTTATCGAACATAGAATACTCTTTTCATCAGGCTTTATAGTTATATCTACATTATAGTGAATGAATGTTGTTTAAATAACACCGAATCAATAATAATAATATCAGCGGATTACAGCTCAATAGCATCAACATAAAATAAGCTGAATGTCAGAAAAATTAAGAAAGATAATATTAAAAATTCATGAATTTATAGTCTCCGCTGAAGGCCAGCCTGGGCAGTAGTAGTGGCTGGCTGGACTTGCATCTTTTGCACACAGAGCACTCACTGGTTGTTTGGGGCGAATTGCAATAGCCTCTGCTGTTTGGAGCATGCGGTGCTTCAATGTTTTTGTCAGTTTATTTGGTAGTCGGTAGATGACGGTAGAGAAGAATTCTTCAATGCTGGCTTTGTGGCCTGTTTGAACCAGGTGGTCCAATATCGAACTGTTAATGGTTTTCGCTACACCTTTACTTAACCATAGTGGGAGATCTTCTTGAGTGAGCACGAAAAATCAAGTTCCCAGAGCAACGGCCTATATAACTCGCTCCACCACAGGAGAGCAGTTGAATTGGTAGATACAATTTGAAGTGGCTAGTCTGGGTACTTCATCTTTCAGTTGAGGAATCGCCACCATCGGTGGTGTAGAGAATAAGATGTGTAGTTCGCCAGCATTAAAAGTTCTTTGAACTGATTTTCTTAATTTCCTCGTAATTATTCAACTTGGTATATCACCTTTGAATTGCAGTCGTATATAAAGAGGCTTCTTGTTTACAGATAGTGTGAGTAGTCCTTTTCCGCTCTCTTTGTCATGTGTTTCTTGATAAATTTTTCTGGATAGCTATTTCGATCAAAGTATCATATACAATGCTTAATTCATCTTCAATTACTTCTTCTGAGCATATAGCTCTAACTCTCTGGCTGAGGATCTTTACTAAATTTCTTTTGTACTTGATAGGAAGGAAGCTGTGAAAATGTGTATATTGTCCTGTCCATGTACTGTTTCTACGCAAATTTCTTTTTATGCTACCATCTGGTTTTCTTGTAAGGAGTACATCAAGGAAGGCGATTCTGTTTTGGGATTCCTCTTCTCACGTGAATTTCATAGCCGAATGTACTTCATTGAATTCAGTAATTATTGTATTCCTATCCGAATCATTATCACGAAGAATGAAGGTATCATCCATATACCGGCAATAAAGTGAGAACTTTCTGATAAGGTTGTCCAAAGGAGGCTATTTTCTAGTTTACTTAGAAAGAAATCTGCCAAAATGGGACCCAATTTGGAGCCCATCGCCACCCCGTCCACTTGTTTGTAAAATGTGCCGTCAAATTTGAAATTTACACTCATTGTACACCTTAATAACAATTCTTTTAGGATTTCAGTACGGATATGCCAATGTTTATCGACTGGTTATCCACTTGTTGGCATATGTAGCTAACCGTTTCTACTAGAGTTACATTCGTGAATGAAGATATTATGTCCGAAGGTATCATGGTTTTGTCCTTGATATTGATTTCTTTGATTTTGTCTACGAATTCAAATACATCTTTGACGCTATATTTCACTATCGTCTCATGCATTTAGGTTTCGAAATTTGTTTAACGTAACGGATGCTTTTGTTTTTGGCTTATAATTATCTTGCGTCTATTGCTTACAGTGATGAAGTGATCAATGCGTAGGCGGTGCATAAAAATGACAACATTCATGTTTAGCATATGCCAACAGAAGGTCTTGTTAACTTGACGTCACGTCGTGTAGTTGAAGTATAATACAACTTGGACTTTGAAAGCCTCAAAGACTTATTGTCGCCTACCAATGATTAGGAAGTTAGTGAAGTTGAATGATAGACTCTGGAACAGAGACTGTCGTATTCCAATGCCTAGATACACGAGTGATAAGGTGCACGCATCCAGTTGCGAACCCTCTCTTAGGAGGTCGGCGTTATGTCCTACTGAAGAATAGATGGATGTCTACTGTGCTTTTATGATTTTCATTTGTTTACTAATCGACATATATATATATATATATATATGGGAGTTGTGATGATATTGAGGTTAGGCGTCAAGTGTTAGGTAAGGAGAAGAAATCAATCGACGAGACTGTGAAGTTACACCGATTAAGATAGTTAGGACGTGTGTTACGCATGTATGCCTAGCCACTGATCGCCTTCCTCGACGGGCAATGTTAGCTGACATAGGGTCAGGTTGGTTGGTAACGAGCCAGTGGTGGTCAAACCAAAACATGGCTTCATCAGTCAATAAAATCCACAACAGTTAGTTTAAGCGAGCTAGCCACGTAGAGAAGTGTAGACTTCCTGACTGACTGGTTGGGGTCCTCGGGACGATAGAAACCATTGGTTGTTTTTTTCCTTCACGTTCCCCAGTGGAACATAGGGCTTCAAGCAGTGGTTTGAAGTTTCTGTGGCAGTGTTTATTTTTACAGGATGGGGTTGCTAGCGTCATGCCCAACCTTTCCTCTTCACCAGCATTTTTTCTGGCTTAGAGAGGTAAAGGAGTGCGTCGGCCGGGGATCGAACTTCGGACCATGTGCATGGTCGGCGAGCGTCCTAACCGCTATGCCACCGACGCACGAAACCATTGGTGGCTGGAGATAATTGGTGATATGGCTGTAAATCATTCTCAGCGGTTGGCGCAGGTGCATCCACTCCTTGTGACTTATCATTCCCACTCAAACTCTATTGTTCTTCGATATTACTATTTTTCGCCTCATCTCTGTTCACTGTCTCTATTTTGCATTTCTTCTCTGGCTCTGTGTGCTGAGTGAAGTGTGGCGACTGGAACTGCTGCACATTAATGCAAAGTTCTATGTTGACACCAGACACTGTGCTGATATCTACCTAGAAAAAGCTTCTTTGTTCATAGATATCTTTGAGTAAATGTACCTAGTTCCCTTAGCCATCCATAACTTCCAGACATCCAACTCTAAGATGCGGCGTGTTTCATTTGTTGATTAGTTAACAATATCACTGCATAGCCAAATAATAGTTGAGAATATTTTTAAAACTGTTCTACTTAGTATTTGGTACATAGTGACGAATAGTGGAATCCAGACTGTTACTGCACATGACATCAGCTGGATAAACCTGCAATGCCCAATGATACTGGTAGTGATAGTTCTCCCACCGGGACTTGAACCTTGCACTCATTGTTTCAATCACAGAGGTGTTATTTCCTAGACACCTCTGGTTCTTCTTTGTGTTATCGCTGGTAGTGGATCGTTAGGGCTTCAAACTGTGAAGTTTTCAGTAGCTGTGATCGATAAGGTCGATAGCTTCATGTCCAACATTGTCTGTACATCGATAGGGAATCGTAAACGTGCAACGCCTTTTTAGTCTAGTATATTCAGCCAGTGAATCCAAATATGAATACATTTTAGAAGCTTATTAATTCACTTTTAATTTGTTGTATTTCGGCTTTCAATATTAGCATTTTTTTCTTTCTTGCTATTTTACTTCAGAAATCTTTCCCAAAGATCAATTATGGGTGGTTTTAGAGTCTTCCTTTTGTGGTGTACCACTTGAAAATAACATTGTAAGTTTTGTAGTATGCTTGAAGACTGATTGTAGATTTCAGTGTGTGTGTGTGTGTACTAATTGTTTTCTACCTATAGTATCCTATTACATTGTGATTTTTATCTGAAGGAAATATTACAGTTACCTTTTCTAAAAAGTAGTTGAAAGAAGATAACTATGCTGTGCCCATCTAATCAGTGAAGTATTATACTCTTATTGTAACGACAGAAGACAAGGGCAAGGCAACAGATCGTTTATTGAGAGAATCAAGAGATATTTATAGGTTATTCTGTACTGCTTTTGACCGTTATCTTAAAACATTAAGCCATATATCTGCGAATCGTATCCGCCCACGCTAAGTCTGCTATGGTTGGTTGTTGAGTTCATCAAGGTTAAGCTTTGTTCTTGTCCTTTCTCGTGACTTCGATTTAGGACGTAAAGGTTGACGTAAATTGGTGTCTGCCAATTTTGGCTAGTAGACAGCTCTCACCACATTACTACTTATCAAGTATGTATCAACCCTAATTATAGGATGCATCACACAAAATCTCATAGTCTACCCTGAAGCACTGATCGAAGTGGAGATGGTTGTCCTAAGCGACTTTACTCTTTCCACCGGCCTTTGACGTGAGCATTCTGATCTACAAGGCATAGGGGAAGTGTCAGTAGCTACATTCCCATGCTTTCTGGTGACTCAGGCAGGTTCACATGTCACCCATAATCCAATCGGTTTCTACAGCCCATAGGTTTAAAATGAGGATTTCCCAGTTTCTCTAGGTGTAGACCTGGATGTCCACCAGTTCGGTTCTAAGTGCCAACAAAACTTTCGAATTCATCCTTTCAATTTTGTGAGGAACATCCCTGCGTCGTAAAGGCGTAGTAATAAATATGACTTATCTGACAGAGGCTATGAACGGTTGTCGCCATATGATGAGAGTATTTCGAAGGAAAGATCGGAGTTTACGCATCCACCTAGTGCCGTTACTGGCCGTTCACACGGGGTCATCAGTCAAGCTAAGTTTTGGAGAAATTATTATACATATACGTATTTTTTATTCCTTTACGTTTCCAGTGGAACATAGGGCTTCAAGCTAGAGGCTTGAAGTTTCGGTAGCAGTGGTGTTTGTTTTTATGAGATGGGGTTGCTGGCCTCATGCTCAATCTTCCTTCTTTACCAGTCGTACTGCTGTGCAAAGTTCTATATCGAAAACAGACGGACAGAGAGTCTTACCACCTGCTTAGCGAGGTAAAGGCGTGCGTCAGTGGCCAGGGATCGAACCCCGGACTATGTGCATGATCGGCTAGCGTCCTAACCGCTGTGCCACCGACGCACTATATATATATATATATATATATATATATATGCCTAATTCCGTTTGTATACTTTTTATTTCTGTTCTTTCTTTTCTATAATAGCCCCCCTGCCCTTGTGCCAGAGTCTCCCTTCTGCTGCAAGTTGGGTTTTCCCTAGCTGTAGCAGAACAAGAATTAAAGTTCGAGCATAGGGATCTACATTGGGGGAATGTTTTGCTCGATGAAAGTTGTATGTCCCCTGCTGTAAATAAATCAACAATGTCTTCTTCATCGTCGACTTCATTATCTTCCTCCTCTTCTTCATCCTCCCGCTCCGTCTCCTCATTGTCTTCATCTTCAAAAGATTCTTGTTGTAAATATTGTTCTTATTTGGACAATATGGATGGAGTGGAACAAGAAGAAGGCGAAGAAGAATCTGATAAGGAAAATAAGAGACATGTCACTAATGAAGAAGAACAAGAAGACGCTGATGACAAAGAAATGCACAACAATAATAATAATAATAATAAATACGTACAATTTCGTCTGAATGATCAGGCGATCAGTGTTCCAAAATGCGGTTGCACGGTATACCTCATAGACTTTACCATGTCTCGTTTAGAACAAGGTAAGCAGTCAGTCAGTCGAGTGGAGTGGAATTAATGATATTTTGCACACTGTTTATTGTTTTTGTTTTTCAAAGTTTCTTGTTTTATTCTCATAGACTATTACTACTACTACTACTACTACTACTACATACCAAATGATGCATATATATACTACTGGGGTTTCAAATCACCGAAAATACTACCCATTGGGAGTTATGAAGAAAAAAAATAAAAGACGAATTCAGCCAGCGAAGAAAATGCTTCTTCTTTATCGACGAAATCATCTTCAGAGGCTGGCTGTACAGTCGTATTTATATTTACTAAAAATATATATATATATAGTGGTCTATTATTGAGTACTAGGAAGTGGGTGACATAATTGATATAATTACTCGGAAGTGGTTTTAGAAGTAAAAAAATGAAAGACGGTGCTGAAGAAACTGCTATTTATGAGCGTTGAATTTAGAGGTGATACCGCAGCTGAGATCCTGAAGAATCGCTTATGCAGATCACTGAGGAAAGCCTTCTTTACGGCTGAGCTACGTATCAGTTTCTGCAACCGAGAAATGATCAATGGATGTGTGAAAGATAAATTGTCACTTTGGGCCACTTCAGTGTGTGTTTATAAATTCACGTGCTCGTGTAGAGGTATAAGTATAAAACTTGGGTAGTTATATTGACCACCGAAAGCGCTCAATTTGCAAATTCATCTCTTAACATTATCCGGCATGGTTAGCAAAAGGACAATGCAAGACAATTACTGGCTCAATTCTCGAGCACTTGGTGAACTCAAGCTGCATAGCTCACTACAGGTTTTGATTTCACCATCCCTAACACTTTCCCAACGTAATCCTAAGAGTTGGATAACATTACATATCGAGGAAACTGATGGCTAGCCGTACGTAACACATGAAGTTTTAGCCAGTCCCATAGGGGGGAGGAGGTGTAGGTTACCTGGTTGAAAAGTGTTTACCGCATCCTATGAAGCAATGAAGGCTGGAGACAATTGATGATATGACTCGAAATTGTTTTTCAAAAATGGCGCGCAGATGCATTCACTCTCTGCGATGTGTTATTTCCTATTAAACCATCATTTTTTCTATACTGCCCATAAGACAATGGCTCTAGGTCGGTCGGTCGATCAGTCAAAAACGGCATGTTTGAATTAGTTTCTTGAGTAGTACGCGTAAATGGAATCATGTCGCCGGCTACAAACTGCCACGAAGTAATTCGAGATGTACAATTTTTGGAGTCGCCTTTTTTCAAACCTCGTTTCACCTCTCCACAATGGTGAGAGATAGGTTGGGTGGCTTGCTGGTCATATGAGAGAAAAATGCAGCTGTCGTTACACATTTATTCGCCAACAGACGCGCCCAACACTGTGCCAAAGACTTACACTAAAACGGGAACTGTTTTTATTTTAATTCAATTAGGACTTTCCCGTTGATTGATCGGACCGAAGTGCTTGGCCTCAGGTTGGCATGTCGACTCTTTGTGCAAATGCCTCAACGATATCTGATGTCTGAAATTGTCTCTGGTATCCAACCAGCTTTAATGGCATGGAAGAACCTTCAGCAATATTAGCTCCATCTTGTGTAACCCGTTAGGTCATTGAGATATGTGCAAGCCTTACCATCACGTCGAGGTAGCAGCTGTTGATTGGGGTGGGTGTGGGGAGAGCTTTTACGAACATAAGCATATATAACCCAACAGTGTTGTATACATGATTTTAGGGGTGCTATTGAAATCGGTTATATGTGACCCACCTTCATTTATCGCAAACTATGTATGCTTCGTTACTCTTTATATGAGTATGTATGACAAATATGTGCGTGTGTGTGGTCAGAATGTTCGAAATGTATTGTACAAATACATACCATGTATGTTTGAGATAAATCCAAGTTATTATTATAACTTCCTTGTGTTCCAAATGGAGCGTAAGAGCTTCAGCGGCATATCTCTATATCCTTATATATTCTCCGCAGTTTTTTTTAGCTGCTTCTTCAATTAACTCCTCACACGAAATCCTCTCAGTCTACTGTCGAATATGCAATTGAACTCTTCGTTCAAATCTTGATTAAAGTTCATATTAGTTTGGTTTATTTTGTTTTTCATGACTGAACGACGATGACTCTCAAGACAACAAGATGCTTCCATCTATTTTTGTATGACTCTCTGATACTTTTACTCTGCGTATTATTTCTTTGGAGAATTTCGGACCCGTTTGCTGAACAAATTTTTTAAAATAATTATTTTTCACACATGTCTACTTTACACTCAGTCGATGAAGTTGTGAAGTTACATTGATTGAGAGATGGTTAGCACATGTGTTACGCATGCCTGCCTAACCATTGCCTTCCCCGATGACTGGCAGTGTTAGCTGACATACGATGTATCAGGTTGGAAAAGAGTTAGCCAGTGATGGTCAAACCAAAACATGGCTTCATCAGTCAATGAAATTCACAACAGTTAGTTTGAACCAGCCAGCCATAGAGGGAGGTGTAGACTTCCTGACTGGTTGGGGGTCCTCGGGACGGTAAACATCAATGAAGGCTGGAGACAATTGGTGATATGGCTCAAACTCATCGTTCTCAATGGGTGGCGCAGATGCATCCACTCCTTGTGATTTATCATATGCAATCAAACTCTATTGTTCTTCAATATTACTATTCTTTTGTCTACTGTCTCTATTTTGCATTTCTTTTTACTTTCTTTTTCTTCTTCTCTGGCTTTGTTTGCTGAGGGAAGTGTGTCGACTCGAACTGCTGCACATCGGTGCAAAGTTCTGTGTTGAAGTCACTCGGTCCTGGTTCAGTGTCCTTAGGATTCTAAGAACATCAATGAAGGTTGGAGACAATTGGTGGTGATATTGCTCGATATTGACATAGACGCATTCACCACTCCTTGTACTCTGTCATATCCTTTTAAACCATCATTTTCTTCTGTGTTACTATTCTTTCTCCCACTTGCATTTCTGCTTATTATGGTTCTTATGAATATCAATTTTTGTCCGTTTTGTCTTCTTTTGTGTGTACTACATGGAGTGCTGTGGCACATTGAACTGCCATACTTCTATGCAAAGTACTATGTTGAAACCATGTCAATCAGACGCTCCTACATTCATTTTTTTGTAGGGAACTGTTCATTTCAAGCTTTATTTATCGAAATTTAACCAAAAGTGTTATACACAGTCTTCAGTCACTTTTGTTGTATGATATGTTCCCTCTTCTTTAATTGTAGATGGTGATTTAGTCTATGTTGACTTAAGTAGTGACCCTACTTTGTTTCAGTCGCAAGGAGATTATCAATTTGACATATATCGTCATATGAAATCACACACTCGGTGAGTATACATACATAGAATGATATACTTTTTTGTGTTCATGTATTGACCAAAGTTGTTGTCCTTTATTTTAATCAATTTTTACAATATACACCCACACATCATACCAACCGAATGTAATTTGATTCTTATGCAGATTTCAGATATGGTCGCGAGCCAGCTGTTTCATCCGAGTTTTAGACTATTCAGCAATGCTTAACACTGCGGTCTGACTGAAGAACCTTTCAGTCAAACCATTCAGCCACTGAGACTCTATGCGATGACCTATGATTGCTGACTTTTGTCTGAAAAGGTTCTTTAACTGTTGATGTTAGCTAGCTTATGATTATACTTGTAACCACTCAAATCCTCCCGCATACACTAACACTTGATTTATTAATCGGATAGTCATTAGCAACTGTCTGTATACAGGAAAAAGTTACCTAGAGTTTTAGTGAGAAGTCTTAACCGATGGGGTCCACAAAGTCAGATAAGATATTATATATATATCGCGAATTGACAGGCGTGTTGGAATTCTTGGGCGATTGGATTGAGTAGGTCCCAGTGGTTGAATGGTCTACGAACTCACCTTGTAACCGGTAGATCCTTCCTAGGTTTGAAAGTCGCAGTGTGAACGCGTACTGACGAAAAGTCCCAAACTAGGGACGAAACAGTCGTCTTGTGGGTTTTGGAGTGTTGTAGACGTTGAGTGATATGTGAGTCACGCAACATTATGTTGAAGGTGTGACGGTAAATACTAGGCGTTTTAGAAGCAGTAAGGTATTTCTTTCAGATGATCGACGAGCTATCCAATTGTGTTGGCGCTCATTCTGTGGAAGCGGGTTGGTGGTTGACCCTGAAAATTTTATGTCGCTAGCTCTCCACAACAGTCTATGCCAGGTTGTGTGGCCATTCGCAAGCAGTTTTCTCAGTTCTAATCCTCTGTTTATGTTTCATGTGTTTCAGTTAGTCAGATGGATTAATTGTAATTCGGTGTTAGTGACACTGAATTCTGAAATAACGTCTAGAGGACACCAACGAGGTAGGTAGTCTAAACATGCCCACGTGGCTCAAATCAGCAATCATAGACTTCATGCATCGATGCCAAGTTTCGATTTAACCACAGCTAACTCTTCTCTGATTTTATCCTATGTCACGTCGTAACGTTGCTCGATGAGGAAGACGATTGTTTGGCATACGTAACGCATGTCCTAAGCCTGTCAATTGATCCAGTCTGATAGTTTATCTGCCTTGCTCGATGTGCAGTGTCAGGTGAATTAAAATAATCTCGGAGAAGTTCCAGTAAGCGTATCCGGATTTTAGTCACTACCTATTGTCCAGCCAAAGAATTCACTGCAGTGTTGTTAAAGGAGGTCAATCAGAGACGTCTATAGCTCTGTGGTAACGTCTGTGAATGCAGTACTGAGTCACCTGTGTTCGACTCTGAAAGGCGATTTGAGCCCCTTCGAAATTACAGATACGTCTTGCTGACCAGAGCCAACAAGGTCGAGAACTACATCCTAGGTTCCTTGCCGATCGCCTCCTACCATCTGATTAAAATAATTCAGATTGCATCTTGTAGTCGTAAGCCACCTACCATGGTGGCCACATTGCAAACCTGACTGATCGAATTACTATTAAATAACCCAATCACAGTGTGCATTATAGTCCTTCATGAGGTGGTCAATCGTGAGCCCGAATAGCTCATTAGCAACACCTCTGACAAAATTAATAGGTGATGCGACCTGGAATCGCAAAACGAATGTGAGTCCTTTCAAGTTTTCAGATACGCTTTGCTGTCTGGTGAGTGCCAACAAGCAAGAAACCTAGGTGTCTAGACAGGGCTACTTGCCGATTGCCTATAACCATCTGACATCAAAGTAATTGTTTATTATCAAGTATTGATTTGTAGTGATCTTTGTTTTAATTGGTTGGAGGATTTCATCATGAGCTGATATCAGTTAGAGAACCACTGGTAAACTAGCTGTGGAATACCAGTCAGCTGTTTCGTCCTAGTTTAGGATTGTTCAGCAGTACACATCCAACGCCAGTATTCGAACCCAGAACTTTCTGGTTACAAGGCGAGCTAGCTCATAGACCATTAAGCCTCTGGGAGCCGATGCAGCGGTCAGCACGTGAATTCCAACTTCAGCCAATTCATGACATAATGCGGCCACTTCACAATGTATTCTTTAATGAGTAACTGTCCTCACCTTCGACCTACTGTACCCTACTGGTCACGGCTTGAAAACCTTTGATAACATGAATCAAAAGTGTGTTCACAGTGGTGTGTAGAGGTTTATTCAAACTTTGTTATCTTTGAAACTATGAACCCCTTTCCACTAGTATCGTTTCACACATGTTTGGTGGTCCTAAGTAGTTATTTTTTGGATTGGCTTTCTTTAATTAATGTTATCTTGAGTGGCCTCCAAAGCCTCAGGATGGTCGGGGGTGGGTGCCTTGCGCTGCGGGTTGGCCACCCCTCCGCACACCTCTTGAAATGCTCCCATATGACCGGGCGTCTTACATAGCCTCTCCTGAGGAAGTCCTACTCACTGCCTTCACGTCGAGGAGGTGTTTTTCACCAAAGTGGGAGGGCGAAAGCAGATGCCCGGCGCTCTTCACCGGGTTGACTGTCCATTGGATGACAGTCTAGGGGAGATGGCTAAACCCTGATTCCAAACCTCCAACGACTGGCGTATGGAGCTGCTCACTGGAGCTCACCGGCAGACGTATAGACAAAGGGCTTGTTGGATGTCCTGGATGTCTGGCCCCATTCAAAAAGGCGTATGAACCGAACTCCGGTCACTGGCTGCCAATGGATAGTGGACTCTCTACTCCACTCCTACTGCTTTGTAGGTCACATTTGGTTGTGTAAAGGCTAGAGCTGCACTCTCAAACAAAAGGCCGAGCGATTCTGGGGACATCACTCGTACCGAATTCCCATGAAACTTCATGAACTCTATGTTCATGAAGCCGGCTCATCCTCCCGTAGGAGATAGCCGAAGTAAAGTAAAGTAAAGTAAGTAGTCTAATCACACTCATGAATACAATTAACAGTTTGCAAACTAGTTGGCGAATTGCAATTGTATGCAGTTTAAGAGGTGAAATTTTCACCAACTAATTATTCAGTTCACACTCAAACACACTAAATGATTTGCTTGATATCATAAGTTATAATCAAGACAGCAAACATGTCTTTATTGAACTGTCTACTACTCATAAGTAGTTGCATACCAGTCATACCAACCAAAGTAGTGTTTGTCAGCTGGTTAGCTAGGCAACCAGCCAGCCAGAAATCATGTGGTCCCAACTGATTCAACTCCTTGAGCTGAGTCATATCGAGTACACTGCTGATGTACTCGATCACAAACGAGCGAAGATGTAGTCACTCCTGTTTCTAGCTATTTTATTGTCACACTTAACCTTTTTCGTAGGTAAACACCGTAACTGGCAATTTTCAGTATCCTGTTAAAAAATATAATCGTAAAGTTTATTGATATGCACCTCGATGAGGTCCAGTTCTCCCTCCCTCTCTTTCTTTCATTTTTTTTCCAACTGATCTCAGTCAGTTCGTGACCAAATCCTTCCTTGCAAACGAACTCTTGAATGCTAGTTAACTGTAGCCGCTAAGGGCATATATACAAAATAAATTTTAAAGTGTCGGCATTGACGACAAATAGTTAGTAGTCGCGCTAAAATCACGAATCTGCAAAAGCTGTTGAAATTCATGAGTCATTGAATTGGGCCTCAGTGTCTGAATGAATGGTCTAAGAGCATGTCTTGTAACCGAAAGCTCCGGGGTTCGAACCCCACACACAGTGTGGATGCATGCTGCTGACAATGTTCAGTATCCTGCTAAAAAATGTGTGCGGAAAACTTCCTTCAGTCTTGTTGCTGTATATTAAATAATGATAAACTTGATTATTCTATTCGTTTGTTTTAATGCATTATTACTATTACTATTATTATTTATATTTTTCACCCGCTTATTATGATTTGTTATTTCCTTTCTTCTCCTCCCCCCCTAGAAATAATTGGAAGAAGTTTTCACCGAAAACCAATGTAATGTGGTTTCACTACCTAACAACAAAACTATGCTGTGATTTGCCCGAATTAACCTCATCATCTTCTGCATCCGCCTGCATCAAACGTCGGCATGCTATTTGTTGTAAAAAGCTGAAAGACTTAGAGTTGAGCACACGGAAATTCAAATACAAATCCGCATTCGACTTGGTGACAACACACAAACTGTTTAGAAATTGTCGGGATTTTTTTAGTGATAAGTAACTGCTCCAAACGTGGTTGTGAATGTGTGCACGTTACCCTTTCACTTTGTGAATTGTGCTGTTTTTCATATTTTTTCCTTCAGTCTTTCATTGGCGTCTTCCTGTTTTTGTTTTCAGCGCCCTCAGATTTTGTTTTTTTTGTACCTTAGTAATACTTTTGTTATTATTATTATTTTTCTATTGTTTTTATTTTATTGATTGAGATAGAAATTAGGTGTAATATTTTCTAAAGAAAATGCCCGTTAGTTGATAAAGTTATTCAGTTGAAATATAGGCATTTGTTGTGAATTATTGCTTGTGTTAAATACATATTGAATGCATCCAAGCTGTGTTTCAGTTTGAGAAGGCTAGTGTCACTCAACTACACCACCCCAGTGTGATTGATTGACTGACTGGAACTGTCATCAGATAGCTTGAAGCATTGAAAAAAGAAAACACCAAGAGTTACCGGAGTGTTTGTTTTGTTCCCAATCAGTTTTCAACTCTTCGGCAATATGGGGATCCGTGTCCCCAATCAGCGATTTGGAATCAGGGTTTGTAGGTTGTGTGGGAGATTCGTTGACCATTTAGCCACTGAGATAAGACCTGATAGTTCGTCGTCTTATAACCTGAAAGGTTATTGATATGAACCTCGATGAGGTCCAGTTCTTCCAGATGTTCTCTAACTGATCTTGGTCAGTTCGTGATCTTACTTGAAATCCTTGCAAACGAACTTTTGAAAGGTAGTTAGGTGTAGCTACTAAACATATGGAAACGGCATATATGCAAAATAAATTCTAGAGAGTCGTGATTGAGGACAAACAGTTAGTAGTGGTGCTGAAATCACAAATCAGTAAAAGTGTTAGAATTTATGAGCCATTGAACTATGTCCCAGTGGCTGTATGAATGATCTCCTAGCATATATTGTAACCAGAAGGTCCGGGGTTTGAGCCCCACTGTATGGATGCATGCTTCTGATGAATCTCAAACTAGAAGAAAGCAGCTCTTCAGTACTCCTAGCTGGTTTCCCAATGGTTCTCTATCTGATGCCAGTCTGTAGTCAAGCTTGATATAAGAAAATAAGGCAATCAATACTTGGTGATAGATACTGCAGTGATTGTCGAATTCAAGGTGACACTCTTCACTAAAAATTGACACTGCAGTCGGGCGGGAATATATTCTCTTTCATGTTTGGTCGCTAGGCACTTTGACTTAAGTTCTTAATACATAAGCTAGTTGATCAGTGACATTATTAGATCAACTCATGATCGATGTTGGACACTTTGAAATTGCTGTTAACTCATCTTGCAACATTTTCCATATGCAGTTAGTTGAAATGCATAGATTTCTATCGAAGTAACATAGTTAATTGCCTTGTTCCTCAGTGAAGTTTGCTAGAACTTCTTACACTAAATATTTTCTAAGAGACTTGGCTTCAAGGCATTCACTCCATATATGCGTTAATCGGTTTTTCAGCTCAAAAATCCAGTCTCTGAAGTTGCTCAGTTATAACATACTTTCTTTTCCTGTTAATTGTCAGATAGCAGAGGTCTGTACTGATGTGGACGTTATATCCGACGGGGTGGTAGGGGGAGGGTTCTTACTGCTTTCGATAATTGTGTAGCTCCGTATTTCTCTAGCAGTAGAACGACTGCTGTAATTACCTTCTCTACCGTAGAACACTTCTTTTCCACAAGCTGGCATACTCTCCACAAGTGTATATGTTTGCTTTTGAATGTTACATCTGTCGTTATCGTCACTAGCATCTGTGGAAATTATGATGTGCAATTAAAAGTGTTCTCTGAACTGGTTGGTTTAGTCGCGAAGCTTTCGTCGTCCTTCCGGACAACATCTTCAGCGCCATATTTAACACAGAGTGAAATGATTTAAATTTCTTCATGCGTGATGTAATTGCGTCTCCTGGTTACTATCTTCACATATGTATTGACCACTTTCTATTGACTAGGATTTTAAACTTTTTGGTCACCTGATTTACTTTTTATTAATTGGTATATTTTATCTATATTAACGTGTTTGTTAATCGCATTTTCGTTTGAGTACCAGGCTTCTGGGAATTCCCTGACTGCACTTTTGGTGTTTCCTCTGTCTAAGATTTTGACATTATCCCAATCAAATTGATGTCCATAATTGTCTATATGCATTGGTACTAAAGAATATATATCATGTCTTTGCACAACTGATTTGTGTTCCTGGATTCTGATTCGAAGGGGACGCCCACTTTGGCCGATGTAATGCCTGTTACAGTTCATACGTGCAACTTATTTTGTAAATGGTATTAATTTTATCTCTTTTTTCTGTTGGATATTTTGGTTTGCACAATATCGAATTAATTGATTTGAGTGGCTTGTGTGCTATTTCTATTTCAAACGGTTTCAATATTCTAGCTATTATTTCAGAGAAATAATATATATATATATATATATATATATATATATATATATATATATATATATGGTAGGATGAATTTTCCTGCGGTCTTTGATGATGGTTTCTTGTTGGTGTTTTGATTCGACTTTAAACACTTTTTGATGAAATTTTGTGGATAACCATTCTTTTTGAAGACCGTTTGTAGGTACTTTTCTTCCATTCTTTTCAGCTCTGGAGTGCTACAATGTGTCTGAACTCTTTTAAACAATGTCTGCACACAGTTTCGTTTGTGAGTAACTGGATTGTTGCTGGTATAGTTGAGTATTTGATCTGTGTGCGTTGATTTTCTATAAACTTGTGTCTCTAAATCTCCTGTGTAGGTTCTCCTGATTGAGATATCTAAAAATGGGATTTTGTTATCTGATTCTTCTTCTCTTGTGAATTTGATGTCTTCAAATATGTTGTTTATTAATTTATGAGTAAATTCTAAATCATTTCTCTTAATTATTACAAATGTATCATCAACGTAACGTATCCAGATTTTCGGCTTATTTATAGGTAGAGCTATTAATTCTAATCTTTGCATAACGGCTTCAGCTATTAATCCTGATATGGGCGATCCCATAGGTGTTCCTTTTATTTGTTCATATATTTGAGTATTGAACTGGAAGTATGTTGTAAGGCATAATTTTATGAGTTCTATCCAAGTTGATGATTGTGCTTTTGTGTTTTCATCACTTTAGAGTAATTGTTGCATAGTTTCTATTGCTAGTTTTGGACTAATTGAAGTTTATAATGCTGTGACATGAAACGACACCATTATGATGTTGTACATCATGGACATTTAACAACAACTTTATATCATCTAAAAGTTCTATAATCTGACCGCTTGTATACTGTACCTCTTCAGATGAAGTAAACGTATTACGTAACAACTTACACAAGGGATGCAGTGTCTCGTTGGAGGTCTCCACAAACATATCTATTCTCAAATTCGCCTGTGGAGGAGATAGTAGTTGAGTGGAGATTTTGATAATCAGGAGAATGGTTGTCGACTGGGAAGGGAAGGAATACCTTTTCTGTGTCAATGAATTCAGTTTATATTTTTGAGGTATTTCGACAAAACAGGAAGACGTCATTTATCTGAAATGTGTGTAATTTTTTAGCGCGACAAATTTCTCACATACAAAAATTATATTTGTAAAGTTTCAGCGGAAATAAAATAAGTAATTCCAACGTTTCGTACGGCAAACTGGTCCACAATAATTTCCATTTATTTCCCCTAAGAAGTTCGGGCCAGTTTGCCGAAAGAAACGTTGGAATTAATTATTTCAATTTCGCTGAAATGTTTACATATGTCTACTTCTCACTGGGTGCCTAATTATTTTGGAATTATTCAGTCAAATCTTGATCAAAGTTCATGTGAAATTCCGGACATTCTGATCACATATACACAAAGGGTTATTGTATAGGTCAGGCTGTCTATAGGTCAAGGTCACAGATGAGTAACAGTGACGACGTAAGAATACAGGATAAGAAATAAAGGGGGTTGAGGATACTTTTAAGTGAATTGGATCAAGGCACGATCACAGGAATGATGAATAATATTTGAGCACATCAGACAGGTTTGAGCATTTTTATGACTGAGGCTACAACAGATTTAAATATGTGACCCAAACTTGTTTTATACACTGGCGTGAAAGGATTAATGAAATTTCTAATTCAGTGATCTCAACTCACTGAACAAATCTCAATCTTATAAACTGTAGTCGCTTTCGTTTCTCTTTTTGAGTTGCTATGTGAACCTACAAGCTAACACTGTTCTGTTGATTGATTTTTAATGTTTTCTGTCTTACCCCTTCCACCTCTTTTCTACTTTGAAAGCGTATAAATTGATGATGAAAACTTAAACTAAAAATATTTAAGGCGAACAATTGTGGTTTCAATAAATTCTTCTTCAGGCTCTACAATTATAAATCCATTAATTTAAGCATACAATAGCCAGTAAAGGCAAATTAGATTCATATCAGAAAGTGTATTGTTGTGGAACAAGTATAAGATGGGATGGAACAATAGTCAGATAGTTTTTTTTAGTATGCATGGTCAATGAGAACATGAGACAAAATACCAGAAGACCAACTACTATGTTTACCTTGGCCTACAATAAACCCAACAAATCCTCCATTAAAACATTATAAATTCCTTTCACAATTTTCTTTTCTTCTTCTTCTATTCCTCTGTTTCATTGACAATCGTTCATTTTCAACTTTTATGATTTCATAACCTTTCTTATGATTTTATTACCTTAGGTTTAAGTAGTGCTTTTTAACTTGCTATCGTATTTACAAAATCCTGTTCATTCCACTTCATTATATTCATTATTACTATTTGACAATCATTCACCAATAGTGCTTGTAATTTTACACCATATCATCGTTATTATTTCAGTCATTCTTATTGTCGTTATTTTCAACCTTGAACTTATGTCTAGACCGCCCCATTCGTTGGTTTATTTTCATATTGCCTCACACACACTCTCGAAACCTGCATTTTCTGTTGACTATATTTATATGTATATGTACACATCATTAAATAAAATTACTTCATCTCATTTTGTCCCATGTTCTCATTGACCATGCATATTAAGAAACTATCTGACTATTGTTCCATCCCATCTTACTTATACTTGTTCCACAATACACTTTCTGATGTGAATCTAATCTGCCTTTACTGGCTATTGTATGCTTAAATTAATGGATTTATAATTGTAGAGCCTGAAGAAGAATTTATTGAAACCACAATTGTTCCCTCTAAATATTTTGTTCTTAAACTAAAAAATTGTAATGCTAACATTTTGGATGCGTCAATTTTATAGTATTTCTTTTCTATTACCACTTAAACATCAAA